CGTTGTGATTTTACGCGTCACGCACACTGAGTGATTGGCGCCCAGAAAGGCACACCAATGAGCGTCCGGCTGGTGAGCCCAAGAGGCACCGGTATCCGCCTGGGGCGGTGGACGGGGTCAAGGGAGAGCGATACGAGCATGACCTTTGGCCGGCCTCCGCCTGTTTTGACCCAGTTGTCAGCCGCTGGGGCCTGCGTCATATAGCAATTTTCCTTCTACCGCTGGCGTGAAATCGTGTTACAGCGTACTTTTTATGATACAGGCCATGACCTCCCTACTGGGGTCCTCAAACTGAATGGAATAGTTCGCTGAGCCGCCGCAGCCCAGGACGCGATACTTTCAAGAGAGACTATACAGCCAGCTCTCGGAGCCGGCTGCCAGCAGGCCGGCGGTCACCAGCGCGGCAGCCACGGCGGGCGGCGGGCGGAGACCGAGCAGCGGCGGCACGGACACCGCCGGCTCCAGCGGCAGACCGGCCACGAACCGGTAACTGGCGACACACGGGGCGGGGACAGGGTGAGAGTAATCGGACTGTAATCGCCACGCCCCGCGTGGATTGTCCATGAAGGTAATACATACAATACATACATACGAGAGAGGTACGGGACACTGTATCGGGCATCAGCGACACACGGGGTGGGGACAGGGTGAAAGGGGTACGGGACACTGCATCAAGCGCCAGCAACACACTGGACGGGGCGAGCGGGCAGCAGCAGCAGAAAATGGGACGAAGACATGATGGTTGAGAGTGGCACGGGACACTGTATCGGGAACCAGCAGCATACGGGGAGGGCACGGGATGAGAATTGAGAGGGGTACAGGACACTATTGGGGACAGCAGACATTCGTATCAGTCGATGGACGGGTGAAGTAACGAGATCCAAGTATATCGAGATCGGCGAATAAAGCGTGATATTGACTATCCATGACAGATTGGATAATGATGTAAATAATTAGACCAATTAGGACAAATCAAATCTATTCAAAAACACAAAAACTCACCAAACGTATATCCTGGTCAGCATATTGACGCAGTTGGCGAGGATCAATCCAACCCCGCCGAATAGCCTAGTAAAGATCCCTGTCGAGATGACGAATATCACAGATAGCAGCACCATCTTCCGGTTATACCTGAAACACCGGAAAACGCCACAACACCTGTCAAAGCGCCCGATAGTAACGTTCCTAGCTTCACTTTATCGACACGACTGGCCAGCCTTTCCACTTCGCCTTTAGCCGCAAAAGGCAGTCTAACAACAAAAACCAACATGAGAACGTCATTTCCTAATCCGCTCAGCCTCTACCGACTAATTTACCTCACTCCTTACTAAGCCCCGACCATTTCCCGACTGCCTTCCATAAACCCTCCACGGCACTTACCCATTGATCTGTTCCTGGCGCATCACTGCGAACGTGTAGCACTCCAGCACTCCGTTCACCGCCAGTAGGAGCACGTAGGCGCACTGGGCGCGCAGCAGACTGACGGCCGGACCGGCGGTCAGCAGGGCGCCTCCGTACAGCCGCAGCAGCAGGTGGGAGTAGCTCCAGCCGAACGTGACGGCAACCAGACAGAGCAGGCTCATGGCGCGCAGCAGGTCGTGCAGAACCCGGCCCCCCGCGGCAGACACCGGCTGGAGGAAGAGGGGGTAGGGTCAGACTCATAGCGCGGAGTAGGTCGTGTAGCACCCGGCCCGCCACCGCAGACACCGGCTGGAGGGGGAGGGAGCTGTCAGGCACCAGCTGGAGGAGAGGTGCCAAACTGTCCCCTTCCAGTGACTGGCGAGAAGGGGAGAGATGGCCAGAAGGATAGAAGCTGGGCAACAAAACAAACCGAATGACAAAAAAAGACACCAAGATGAAGATCACAACGACTGGCAGTAAGGACTTATAGCGGAGATGAAGAGTAGCTACGAGTATAATTGGCTAATATCAGAGGAGTGTGTGCTTACTTGTGGAGAGGTATTACTGATCAGTGAAGAGAGATGGCAGCACGGGTCACATCGCCACCGTCGCGACAGGAAATGTTAGAGGCAGACGCGGTTGCTGGGAAAACGTGGCAGCACAACTTTGGCTCTATTTCTGAGGATACTCGAACCAGCGCTGCCGTGAGCTGTCTGTAACACAGGTAGGTCTTAATACCGTTTGACTGCAGTCTAAGAGGCCTTAGACCTAAAGTTCTAGCTAAATGAAACGAAGAATGCGACGACTTGGCCAAAAGAAACCACTATGACCGCGAAAACGCTTGACTACATTTGAAACCCCGCCCCTTTACAAATATGTAGTTCACTGGCCTCACCTGTCCCGGCACCAGTCTGGGTCCCAGCTCGCTCGCCGACTTCACCGGTAGACAGTTATCCGGTGAGCGGACGTGCCAGAGCAGGGTGCCGTAATAGATGACCACGAGGAGAGCGGAGCTGACCGCGTGGCCCACACAGTAGGCCCAGATGGCGTGGGACGGGTACAGGGCGATCAGCCAGGCTTTGAGCGCCACCCGACTGCACAGAGTGACCATGTCGGCTACCACCTTGGGAGAGAGGGAGAGCGGGTGGGTGAGAGAGTGGTGAGAGGAGATGGGGAGGGGCGAGAAGACGATAAGAGAGTCAGAGATAATCCACATATGCCAGCAAGGTAGGGAGAATACAGTACATTAACGCGGTGTGAACGATCGACGATCCGCAAACGACTGTCGCAGCAGGCGATTTGAGCTTCGGATATAATTTCACTGATATAGCAGAGTCATCGAGCATATAGCAGTCGAGCAGAGTCATCGGGGAACCGACGCGCCTCAAATATTTTCCCCTGACACCCTGTTCCTCTCCTCTGCGTCACCCCACCGCCGTCATTCACCTTCAATTTGACAAAGAGCATGGCCTGCGCCAGGATGACCAGCGGCTGGGCGGCCGTCTCCAGTACAACCATGGCCGCGGTGACCCACACGCCCAGACGGTACTCTGAGGTCACCTCGGGCGCCGGCTGGCTGAGCGCGTGCAGCCAGAGGCCGGCCAGCGCCGCCGACACCGCCGCTGACACGGGCACGCTAACAGGGGAGCGGGGCGTCAGTCAGAGGCAATTACAACACTGCTCTTTTATAATACACTCAATTCACTGGCAATAAAACATTACATACTTATGTGCCTATGACGATCCCCACATCTGAAGAAATAAACGTCATTTATCGAGGCAATGACCATTTAAAACCACTACTACTCAACAGAACTGTGCCGATTAGCTGCTACCCATTGACTGCCTCCACAGTCCACATTCCACAACAACACCTGTTTTTGAAGTAGGTACCTATATCGACAGTTCCCAGCAAGCACATCCTAAGTGTCAAATTTTTGAAATTGAGATTTCTATACCATTCGACTCAGCTCGTCGAGCTGAGTCGAATGGTATGAAAATCACAGTTTCGAAAATTTAACACTTGGGATGTTCTTGCTGGGAACTGCCGATATGCAGCTTCTCCCAACAGCTGTGACCATTTCGAGTTAAACTGATGTCCGGACCGGAACGATGTACCTGAGCCACACCAAGTTGATGGCCTGGCGCCACGTGCTGCTCTCTGTCACGCCCAGCGCCGCCCGACGGAAAGCCTCCACACTGACAAAGGTGTCAGTCGAGTAGAGTAGAGCCAGCCTGGGAAGCAGACTAGGACTTCAGAACTTTGAACAGAATTGATTTACCTACTTTAAAACTACACTTAAATAAAGAACTGAATGTCAGTCAAAAGGAACAGGTAATTCGGTACATGCTTATGAAGATAACCGTATATTACTTCATTTTATACAATAACTAGAAAATAAGAGCAAACTCTGTTCAACTAGAAACATACGAAAAATTAGCATTTTTCTTATGGAGTACACACTACAGTTCTGGTGAGAAAATAGCATATGTTCTACTTAGGAACTCAGACATTGGATGCATCACTGATGCATGATAGGAAAAAAGTAAAGGGTGCATACCTGACATTGATGATGCCCAGGACATCAGATGTAATATACCGGAGAATGACTGCATTTGTGATGAATGTGAACACTCGGTAGGTTATCTGAAAGACATTTGATAGGTAGGTAGGTATAGCTTCAGCATCAATATGTGCAACACAGACCATGCTATTCTGGGCCCTGTTTCACCGGTGATAGCAGCACGCTGCTATCACACGTGTCAAATTGGGTTTCCATGGAAACATCAGCAAACCATGACACCGTCAATCTGTGTGATGTCATCAAATATTGCTGCCAACAGCTTCACGGCCGTGCGATCAAACACATCGCATTCAACGAAACAGCAACTCTGTTCCAAACGCAGCTCACGGATTACACGAAACGTCATTAGTGTGACCTCATCACATTACGTCAGCTCGCGCAATTTGATAGTAGCGTGCTGCTATCAACGGTGAAACAGGGCCCTGGTCTCTGCAGCATACAGGTAGGTACTTCATTGGTGGAAAATCCCAGGGGGTGCTTCAAACCCCTAATTATCCACCCCTGTTTTTTATTTTAAGTTCCATCCAGTACCAGTATGAGTGTTTATGGCTTGGAAGGTAGGTGAAACATTTCATTATTGTAATTTTAATCTTTTGAGACCTGAATTTCAACATTCTCTTGAGAGCCTGAGAGCATTCATGCCAAGGTTTCTGAGTCTGTTTCATGATAAAGAGACAATATTTATAATGGAGTCAACTTGTGGGTCTCTACCGCTGAATGAAAAGGTTAATCATCAAAATATTATCACAATCACCCAGCAACACACGGTATATACCTACAGCCACACAGCCCAATACCACAGACAGCCAATAAACAAGCAGTGATGAAGGCGTGTTCAAAAAGTTAATATGCAGCTGTCGACACTAAATAGTCGGTGATTTTCCGTTAGAAATTTTGCGCAAACACCATCTGTATAGGCCTTCGAACAGAACCACCACAATTGAAACAAAAGCGCCAAAAAACTGGAATGTTTGTTTTTTTCGCTCGGGAAAGATATATACGCCGCGCGTCACTAGCTGCGCGCCATATTCGCCTCCCTATTAGTTGAATAGGAGAAAATTAGCGTGCTGTTGTTTGCTGTGTTATTTTGTGGGGGATAGTCCTCCCTTGAGCCCTCCCCTGGTTGTCTTTTTGATAGTGAAGCTGTAATTTTGTATATTTGTGACATATTTGTCTTCTGCCTGCCATGCCGTTCTTCTGTGTCCTTTTGACCTGCAATAATAGAGGGAAAACTGCCTAGATTTTCGGCAATCTGTGGCATGTAGTCTGCTATTTTTCCCCTATTTTCTGCGACTCGAGGATAAAACATCCTATTGCGATATAAATATGAGGCCAAAAACAATGAGAAGGTAAGTTTTTATTGTTTCGACAAATGGCTTTACATCACCTTGTGCAATTTCAAAAATTAACAACTAGCAAAGTTGACAAAGCGGGCCAGTAGGGTTACAAACCACCAAAATTGTTTATTTCTGTGCATTGTATTTGGTTCAATCAGGGGAGGGCACACCAGCCTTTCAATGTTATCAAAAATGGTGGCCTAGCTCTGTTAACGATCATGAGCATTCTAAACTATAAATAGTTGCCTATTGATGTTTAACTCCTGAATCAGTTTCAGTTTCAGGCCATACTTGATGCTCATTGTCTGATGTCATTGAGGTTATCCAACAACCTGAGGGTTAAAACTTAAAGCTAACTTTTCGCAGCTTACATGGTTGGGTTTAGGCCTTAATCTTCATGTTTAATAGGCCAGCACCCTGATAAATACTTTATGAATGAAAACTACACCTTATTCTGCTACTGACTACCTATTGGTTAAATATATTCTTTTTTTGTTACAGTACTACATTGAAAATGTGTGTCCTCTTGTCAGCTCTTGTCAGCTATTTCATAGCTGATTGTGTTTAACCTAAACCCCTGGGTGAAACTTGAAAGCCCAATGCCATCTTACAAAAAGAATGATCACTAAATACTGTTTCAGTTTGTTTTGTTACTCTTGTTTCTGTATGAGTATGCATTGCCGTATGCATGCATTTTATGAAAAAAACTAAGACTAAGACATCAAATGCTAGTTTTTTTACATTCCTTTTGATGTCTTGGTTTCTTTTTGTTTTGACTGATGATAACAGAAAAAAATGATTTAAATCACAAAGCGTGCAGGATTGCCACAGAAACAGACATTAGAATCTGTCTAGCTATTTGGTTGTTAGCACTTGAGTCTAGTAATCATTCAAAGAAATTGTGATAAGTCAGGTATAATTTAGAAGTTGTTTAAATACTCCTTGTTTGTCACATTTGTTCATATTTACCCATTATTAGCAAAATATTTTCAGAAAAATTAGCTATTCTCTTTAAGGTCAGCCTGGTGCTACAGTCTGTTGGTGCTGATCTGCAAATGTTTTTTTTTTCTAGGGGCAAGAATGACGACAATGAGGAGGCTGGTAAAATGTTTGTTGGCGGCCTCAGCTGGGAAACCACACAGGGTAAGGGAGGGGGTGACATAGGATGCAGCAACGCTGTTCTTCCTGTCTGGTTTGGTGGATCTTCTGTGAGCAATATAGCTCAACACAACACGTATTAGCTGGGGATAGTGTCTCAATATTCAGCATTGGTGAGTGGTCATCATGTTCACCCTTCTGTGTTTGGATTACTTGAACTCATTGAGCCACCTGGGTGGTGTTTCACGCCTCACGGCCGCTACTAGCACGCTGCCAGCATACGCGTCAAAGTCGGAGACATCAACAAACTCGGCGCTCCAATATTGTGACGTCAGCTTGTGAAATGCGCTAGCAGGGTGCTAGCAGCGGCCGTGAAACACCGCCCTGGTGTATCGCTGTCAGTTTAATGTCCATCCATCTCTGCGGCGTATATCTGCAGTCGATGCTACACTACGTCATGAGCACTTGTGGTCTTGTAACCCCCCAATAAACATTGGCATCGTGTGACTGATCTTACGTCCTCCGTCGCTGCCCGGCAGACTCGATGCTGGCCTACTTCAGCCAGTGGGGCGAGGTGGTCGACTGTGTCGTCATGAAGAACAACGAGACGGGCCGGTCGCGTGGGTTTGGCTTCGTCACGTTCGCCGAGCCGGACAATGTTCAGCGGGTGCTGGCGGCAGGACCGCACGAGCTAGACGGCCGAACGGTGAGGTGGTGGCGGCCGCCGGCCGGACCGCGTGGGCTGTGGGGAACGGGGTGGATGGGTGATTTGCTGGTGACTTCTAATGCGGCTGGGACGAGCTAGCGATGGGGGCTCGCTTTTTATCACTCAGCTGCGTTTGCGATGTGTGGTCCATGTTTTATCATAGTTATCAGTTATCACCCATGTGAGACAATGTCTGCAGAAGGCCTGGTGATTGAGCCATGTGGCAGATAATTTAGCATCTTGCTATATAAAACATTGCGAATACAAATGAAGCATTTCGATGTCTGGTATGTTTGTATAGTTGCCTCGCTTCTCACCTCTGCTGTTGATCATTTATCTGTCGGTACTCCACACTAGCCAGTCTCACAGCAGCACTTTCTGCTCTATTTCTCATACTGACCAAACCCGAACTCTACGTTTCCAGATCGACCCGAAGGCGTGCAACCCGCGCTCGCTGCAGAACAAGCTCCGCCTGCGCAGTCAGACGTACCCGAAGGTGTTCCTGGGCGGCCTGCCTCCGAGTGTGACGGAGACCGACCTGCGGACGCTGTTCGGACAGTACGGCCACGTCATGGAGGTGGTTATTATGTACGACCAGGAGAAGCGCAAGTCCAGAGGTGCGTACCCCGCCGGCGGCCACCGGCCGGCCGAGCGTGATGTGCTGTGGTGTTGTGTCGTGCTGTGTTGTGTTGTGTCACGTTGTGTCGTTTTGCTTTGTTTTATGCTTCTCTGTGGTGTTTTGTATTGTACCGTGCTGATGTATTTGTGTCTTGTCCTCGATTGTATTGTCTATTCATTGTACTATTTTAACGGAGTTTGTGACGCAATTAGCCTGGTCTGTAGTCACCGAGCTGCTTTAGTGCGCTTACATAGGCAACAGCCGACAAGTATGGATCAGCTTTGGGCCCCCAAACAATCCCTGACCCAGGAGATCAAAGTGAATGTGTTTGTCTGATGACTCGGTCGCAGAGTTGTGCACTGTCCTACAGAGTTGGTAGACTGAACAGCGCACGGCTGCTCGACCCATAGGTACAGTTCTGAGAAGTTGGCGTCTGACGGGAGACTGAGTGCTGCGCTGGATTTCGAAGAACAAAATCGCCGTCTGTCTGTCATATGTTAAACCTTTGTGATTTAATTTGTGCCGGCGAGCGAAACACAGGCTTCATGGCTCAGACCCCATACCTCATTAACCCGCGCACCGACGGGGGTCTGCGCCAACTTCGCACCGACGGGGGGGGGGGCGGATGACCGCCCCCCCCCTGAGATCTCGAGAACGAAGCAAGATAGCGACAAGCGGTAAACGGCATCGGATACGCACGGCCAAGATCTACAATTTTTACAAAGGTCATTTTCAGGTCAGGTCAAAGATGACGTCACAGGGGTCGAAAAAGTCAAAATGGCGGCGCTAGATATGGAGAGAGTTTTTCTCGAATAACTTTCGAATTAGTCAAGATAGGAACAAACTAAGGGCATCATCGTGATCCTCTCGTCAATCCGCATCGAATGATATATATGTTGACCTCGAAAGGTCAAGGTCAAAGGTTGACCTCAGGTCACGTGACCTCGAGGTCATCATGTATATCATTCGATGCGTCTTGACGAGCTGAACACAATGAGACCATCCACGCGTCTGTATCTTGTTCCTGTACGGAGTTATTGGCCAAAAACCTTTGGTGACCTTTGATGACGTCACATGACCTCACAGCTGCCCAACAGCAAAACAGACCTCAAGGTAGTGAAGGTTGATCGTATATGAAGTCATGTATGGTATATGGGGCCATTCCGACCCGTTTTAGTGGTAAAAACAGGGAGTTAATTTTTCCCCCATTGACTTATAATTGGGAGGTCGCGAAATTGACCTGACCTTAGGTCACCGATATCAAAATTCCGAGATATACAAATTGTAGCTACTAATGACCTAATAATATCCTGCGACTTTCAAAGGCCTCCGACATCTACTGTAGCTCTGGCACGGTGACAAAGTTGCAAAAAAGTGACTTGAGGTTGGGTCATTCAAAGTGACCTGGTGACCTGACCTTAAAAGGTAGGAGGTTCAAACTTGCACACCATGTGTAAAATTGATGAGGTTATAGTCATACCAAATTTCGCGGCGCTACGCGCCGCGGTTTTCCCGCTATTCGCGAAAAACCTCAGGGGGGGGGCGGATATCCGCCCCCCGTCGGTGCGAGGGTTAACATTGCTCAACACAATGCTCGCCATTAGCACGTTCTTAGGCTAAAATACCAAACAAGGTTAATCGATTATTATTGCCTTCCATCTTCTACGAAGATCAGACACGTTTACTTTTCATTTGAGTACTACCCTTTGTGTGAGGCATGGTCCGTGTATGCTGTCTGGTCAGCTGCCCTGTCTGTGACTTAGCTGTCTGCTGAGTTAGCTGGTCTGTCCGTCTGTCTGTCTCGTGTCTGTGATGCTAGGTGGTCCGTCTTTTTGGTGAGGACCGTTTGATTTCTGTCATGTGCCTGTCACCGTATGCCCAGCTACTGCCCTAATGTTGATTGCACTGTTTGATTAAAAAGGTTTTGGTAAGTATTGGGCGTTGCTAGTCTTTCTGAATACGTATTTCCATTTCTTGTTAAGCCATAGTTCACATCCGCATGGTGTGGTTTTGTACTAAACGTCGTGTGATGGTTTTGTTTTCAGTGTGTGCTGCTTTTGTTAGCTCGGCAAGCCGGCCATTTTTATTGCTCTAATTGTTACTTATTAAGAGAAACATAGAATAAGTGCCCGATTATTTAAGGTTTCTCCTCTTTCTTCAATTAAGGTTCATAAATTAAGGCATAGCATGGCACTATTTCAGTGTGGCTTCCGTACTGAAATGCCTCAATAAGTGGGCCGTACTATGAAAATATGAATATATTTAACATACATTTCACCCAAAACAAAGTTTCTGGGTGCCTCCTAATCGCGTTACTATCACGAAACCATCTGCAAGAGTAGTTCCAAAAGTAATGCTATTTTAATCTGGGGTGAAATGCTCTTGAAAAAAAACTTTGTTTTTCTTTGTCTTTTGCTACTTAATTGTAACCTTCCCGCCTTACGATAATAATCTGATTCACGTCAATCACTTAGATCTCAACTTGGATGAATTACAGCTTATCGAGGCATTTCGGTTCTTTTAATGCTAAGACCAAACTAGATAACCGACTAGGCTAAGTCTTAGCGTTAAGGCTAGCCATAGAGTGTTAGTTAAGCGCGGGTCGCGGTCCGCGGTTGGTGTGTGGGTGGGGTGCGCGGCCGGTCGCCGCTGCCTCGTGAGTGTGTGTGGGCGGGTGCGCGGCCGGGGCGGGCAGGGCGGCCTCCCCACCGGCCCGCCCCGGCCCCGCGCCCGCCGCCGCCGCCAGGGCCTGTGCTACGCGCAGCGGCCGCCGACTCACGGTCCCATTCTCGTAGGATTTGGTTTTCTGTCGTTCGAGCTCGAGGACGCAGTGGAGAGGGTGTTAGCCAAACACTTCGTCACCATATGCGGCAAACAGGTATTTAACATAAGGATCCTAACCACTATCTGTCTGTCTCCCCGCTCACCATTCTGGTGTGCCAGTGTGTCCACCCAACTCCCCGCTTACCGGCTTGTAGCTTAGCTCAGTTTCGTACTGGATGGCTCTCATTCTAGTTTCATAAGGTTGCGACTTAGTGATAAGTCTAATTAAGCTAGTTTTAAGCTAGTTAAGGTGTGGCATTTTACAGCGTCGCGCCAGAGGAAGTATCAATTCAGGTCAGTCGCTCTTTAGTATAAGGACACGGCTCCTAATTTGCGGTTTGCTCCTTTTGTCTCAGACCCTCTTTACCTGCGTGTGAGCGTCACGCTCGGATCGGTGTGGTTTTATGTGTATGCGTGTGCGTGTTTGTGTGCGTGTGAGCGAGTGGAGGCTCGCGGTCCGGCCTGGGCCGCGCCGCCTCTGTCTGTGTGTCCATCTGTGTGTGTGTGTGGTTACACCCGCAGTGCGCTCCCGGTCCCTAACACCCGCTCTGCACCAGGTGGAGGTGAAGCGGGCTGAACCGCGCGAGGCCAGTAAGCCAGTCGACGGACAGCCGATGCAGATGGCGCCGACAGACGGCTGGAGGCCGCCCCAGGACCCAGCCACCGCCCACTGGGGCATGCCCGGCGTACCGGTACGTGCCCAGTCGACCCGACTCACTCCACGCGAGAAACGCAAGAGACAACATAGGACACAGAGAGACGACTGTCAGAGGAGAAACAGGGCACACAGACGACCGTCAGGGGAGGCATACAATATCCTCATCAGTCAGAAGTCAGAACTCAGTGTGGCTGCGTGTGAGCACACACAGACCGCGCAGAGACACAGACAGAGCTTCATTGGACGCTTGGTTTACTGTCCGTCTTTCAGTTTAAGTCCTACATTAGGTGTGATATTAATCTGCTATAAGCGGGAGTTTGCAATTCATTTGCGATATCCATTTCCTTTATTTTGACAAGAGTGGCGTGTATGCCCATTTGTATGCTATTGAGCCACCTTGACCGTACAATTTACATAGTGCAGTCACACTGAGTTCTGACTTCTGACTGATGTGGATCAGTTGGATGCCTCCCCTGACTGACGACCGTCTCTATGCCCTGTGCCTTCTCCGACGTGGTTACGTCTCTGTGTGCCCTGCGCCTCATCTATTGACTGTCTCTGTGTGTCCCGTGCCCCGTCTGCTGTCTCTGTGTGCCCTGTGCCTCCTCTGACGGGCGTCTGTGTACCCTATGTTATCTCTGTGTGGCTCTGTGCCTCCTCTGCTCTGAGGGCCGTCTCTGTGCCCTGTGCCTCTGATGGTCCCCTATGTGTCCTGTGCCGAGCAGCAGCAGCTGGCCGGCGGCGGCGGCGTGGCGCCGATGCCGCCGGTGGTGCAGTGGGGCCAGCAGCAGCAGCCGTTCCCTCAGCAGGCGTTTGGGCCGCCGGCGCCCGGTCCGCCTCAGCCGGGCTACCCGGCCGGCTGGGCGCCCGCGCCGCCGCCGGCCGCCTACGCCGCCTACGGGCAGCCGCCGGCGCCGCCGCAGTACCAGCAGTTCCCGGCGCAGACGGCGGCGCCGCAGCAGTGGGCGCCGCAGCCACAGGGGCCGCCGCAGCCGCAACACCTGCCGCCGTCGGGCGGCCCGTCGCCCATGCCCGGCGCCGACCCGTACGGGAGGATGCTGGGCGGCGGCGGCCCGCCGATGCCTCCGGCGCCCGTCATGGCCGCCCAGAAGCCGGCCGAGTACGCCGGCTGGCAGCAGCAGTACGGTATCAGCGCGGGCTACGCGCCGCCGCCGGCGGAGTACGGTGGACCGCGGCCGCCGCAGCACCAGGAGATGGCGCCGCCAGCCGGTCAGTGCTCACACCCAGCGCCATTCAGTTACATTTTAAAGGGACCCTCCCACCTTCAAAAAAGTTAATGAATTGGCATGAAAGTGATGTCGCTCGGTTCAGAAAGAGCAAAAACGAATATCTACCAAATTTCATCGAAAAATATTCACCGGTTTTCAAGATATTAGACTTTTACTTTTGTTTACTTTTTGGGATCTCCGCTGTTCCTAGCGACTTTATTTAAAAGTGCGGCATTTGTTGCGCGCAAAGCGGCATATACCACCGCGTGCTACAAAAGCGTATTTACAAATTGCAACCGAGCTCCGCCGTAGGGTATTTTATTTCCGCCGTAGTGTATTTCACTTGGGGGATTTTCTACCATACATCTGCCTGAGCTTAGGGTAATTACAATTTGTCGCCGACGTTAAAAAATGATGCACTTTTTTCGCAGTATAGGATATCGCATGTGCATATTTCTGCCTTTTTGGGTGCGCTTTATCGGTTTTTCGTGAGTAACTCGCGTAAAAACCATCCGATCGCGACAAAACTTTCAATGCCCCCGATTTTATCAATTTTACACCTACCCTGAAAATTTCATGACCCTGACCCAAATGACCTTTGACCTGTGACCTATTTCTCGAGACCATGTTTGGCCCGAATCGCGATTCGGCGTATGTCGGCTCGCATTAGCCGCGCGGTTGCAGTCTTCACGTGGCTTCAAGCGTTGAAACATGTGATTTGACGCTGGTCCCATGCATTAGGGTGGGTGTCAAGGTCACCTGAAGGTCAGGTCAGCTCAATGGCCTTTGATGACCTCGGTTCCTTTTTCGAGTTTTACATGTTTTTAGGCTAGTTTTTGGAGCTGATTTAGAATTTAGCAACCATTTGAACATTACAGGGGGTGTAACGAAATTATCCGGACACCTTTCTTCCCGCTGTAATTAAAAAGCAAAACAATCTGGTACTTTTTTTAACTGAGCTTGTAGCCACCTTTCATAAAACCATGGTGGTGAATGTTCTGGAGCATTTCAGCCAATGAATTCTCCAGCACACTGGCTTTGATGCAGACCAATGCCGTCTAAACCTGTGCCTGCGGTTGAGCAGTGCTTATGGCGGGTGGCTCTTCATATACCTCCTGCTGAACAAGAGCCCACAGGTTTTTGATTGAATTGGGATTTGGGATCGCGACTTTTTCCAAGTCATAAGCGTTAGCCCAGAATGATTGAAGGTTCTATCGGCATCACTTCCCGTTCTTTTAGGGACTTTTAAGTAGCGCGCCGCCCCGCATGAAGACAGCGTGGCTTGAATCAGGCATCAGTGCGCGTTCACAAATCGTTCAGGCATCTATGCCGTCTGGTTGAGCGCCTCCAATCATGCTCCACCACCTTCCCTGGAAAAGCTCCACCCTGGCCTATGGGGCAAAATATAAGGGACAAAAACACAAACCAAGACAGATAAAAACAAAGCAAAATTAACTCATTACCTAATGAAATTCAGGCTGGAGCAAATACATAGGTAATAGGTATCTATGTCAAATTAGAATGAATTAAAATCAACCTGACCAAGCCTTACGGTCTGACCTGGTCCCAACCACCTTACTTCGCCTAACTTAACCCAATTCAACCTAGCCTACCACAACACCTGCAGAGGTACCTTCCTGGAAAAATGACGCCCAGGGAGGTGACTGTCCAACTTATTGGAATACTACCATGATATCTTGTCAAAATGTGTGTCAACATGCTCTTGTTTGACAAGTGATGTATAATAAATGTGATATTCAATAATTATCTCCTGACTGTTGACTGTTGAGTGGTCAAAATATTCAAATAATCAGGGTACAATGCTGTGCATAGTGCACACTAATCATGTTGTTTTTGTGTAGGCCCTCTGCACATTGTTGTGTGCACTGCTATGTGCACCTTAAGTAAAAAAGTGACTGGTGGTACATGACAAAAGGTTGTGCAACTGTGAAGTTCATGCCCTTGGTCAAGCTGGTGCCAAATGCCTATAGCTATAGCAGGATCAGTGAGGGTTGTAGACATGCTACATACATTGTGCAATTTGAAGATATTGGCACAAAGTTCATCCATAATTACTATGCTTAACACCTAATGAAAGAAGAGACATAAATGCCCAGATGATAAAACTCTCTGGTCAACATCACACAAATTTATTGACATACTTTGCAGGTACATATTTACATTCATGGCAAATACTTTCAATTTGATTCAGAAACTAGTTGCTAGTAAGCTTGCATTTTTGTAGGTACAACAACGACCATATATTAAGTCATAAAAAACCTTCTCATAGTATTCATCACATACCTTTTTACCAAACAAGTACCTAGCTACCATGCAATGATTCTTAATTTTTCCCGCAATCCATCTATATCTCAACTGACACAATGAATTTGAAATACCTTATCAAAACCAATAACTGTACATAAGAAGAATACAATACTACAAGAACTATGAATTTCTGAAGTTATTCTCACATGCTGGAATGTTGAAACTCTACTTTTGTCGTCCATTTCCACGTTTGATTGAGCCATCATATCAACTGTTTTCATTCTTCAGTCACAAGCTTTCGCACAAATCTTGAATTTTTACGCATCATCTTGAACCATGCTCCAGCCTCCAGTCTTTCCAACAAGGTACTATGTAACATCAAAGCAATTTTGATTTGTTACAACAGCTTCAGATCATGATAGGCTTGAGGTTTGTTACACCATTTGCCAGACAAATATCTACAAAATGTGTATGAATTCCCAAACTAAGTAATTGATCATATCAGTATTTGCAGTTTCCACAAAATGTTTCATAATACTATTCTATGTTTATATAAAGAAACTCAAATAATCCACAAATTGTTATTGAAACACTCCCACTTCAAGAGTTCACAGCAATAACAATACAAAGAAGCAAACAAACATTGCGCCAGATTTCGTATGAAACGCGCCATCGTCCTGAAGTTTCTACCACAGACGGTAGTTCAACCGCAGCCGTAGTGCAAAAACCCCTGCCCACCTTACCCCACGGCGGAGCTCGGTTGCAATTTGTAAATACGCGCTACAAAACGTTTTAGTCAAACATTTAACGGACGTTCGAAAGCCTGATGACGTCATCAGATTCCCGTAATGGTTAAGAGATAGGGACCACGCTGGTCCCACCCTGCAAGTAAAGGGAAGAAATTTCTTGAACATCATAAAGCTGCGGGGGTTGCGACCAGGATAAATGGTGGTTTCTGAGCCTGGCCGCAAACTTGGCTATCTCAACTCAAAACTAATGTTAAGGTGGGAGGGTCCCTTTAAAGGCTACGGTTACATTTTGAATTAGTGCTTATATTTCTGCAGCCATATTTCGAGAACGGTTCTCTCTAGTTCTCATGTTAGCTCGGTTTCGATAGGGCGTCTGTAAAGCTTTGCAGAGGTTTTTCTTTTCAAGCCTTGTGTGCTTCTTTTCAAGATGATTTTGCGAACCTATGCGTTTTCATAATTTTCGTAAGACATGACTTGTTTCAAAACCATCGCACTGTCTTTGCATACTGGTTGAGCTTAGTGCATTTACAGCAGCTTTGCCCTGTTGCTACATCACTCATTAATGCGGGGCTGGTACATACAGTGTCGTCTACCGATCCGGTTGACTGCGTCTGACGTTTGTCGATCTGTTGCAGGCGCTCCGATGCAAAACTACGGTCCCGGGTACGCGGCTGGTATGCCCGGCGGCGACGTAGTCAACTACGGCGGGCAGCCGGCCGGGCCGCCGGGCCCGCAGCGCGGCGGCAATTACAACCAGCCGGTGCAGACACAGCTCTACCATCCGTACCGGCACAGCCCGTACGCCGCGCGCCGGTAGGACCGCCGACGGCCGGCGCTCGTGACGGCGCCACCTTCGAATTCAACATCATTTGATGGGAGTGTCAAATGATTTTGAATTCGATAGAATGATCGACTTTATTGTCAGAAGTAGCGGGCTACTTCTGATGCGCGGTTAGGTTTGGGTCGGCGTCTCGGCGCAGGGGCCCGAGCGGCCCTACGGCAGCGGCCCGCGGCTGAGGGTGCGATCACTGGCCGCGCGGTCTGTTGGAGATGCGAGTTAGGCGTGAGTGAAGCCGAGAGCGGCACGGATGGAGTGCGAGTTGCAGCGAGTGAATGAGTGACGGTGCGGTCTGGACTCGAGTACAAAGGTTAGCTGACCGCTATTCCGGTGATATCTTAGCCACTCGACTGACCAAGAGCGCAGAGACCGACACTGGGTGCACGGCCAGCCGGCCGGGCACGTTTTATACCGGACTCCGGCAACGACCGCATGATTTTCTACAGGTGTCATCTCACTGCCACCGTTTTGGTTTTTCCACGCCGGCCGAAAATGCCTGAAATTTGTTGTCTGTCTTGTTGATCGAATTTACATATTGAGCTCTGTTTACGGCTTGCGGGATAGTATGTACGCGAATGAATGCTTGGCGGCGCCAGGGTTAGCGTTTTGTTTCACTGTACCCGGCTCAAGGTTATTTTGTCGGAGCGAACCGAGCGCGGGATGTGTGCGTGTGTGCGCGAGCACTGGGCAGCGTCAAACCGTTGAATAAAGTCACACACAATGCTGGAATTTGTGCTGTAGCTTTATCCCTCTTCTTCACTGTACGTTATCCATGACTATACCGTTACAAAACAACCGTTTCACACTGCGGCACATTACCATGTATTAATTGTCGATTATAAAATAGTATATGTATCGCCGGCGTCGTTCAGCAATATCAGCACGTCGATTGGTTACGGGACGATTCACCGGCCCGTCTCTTTCGTCACATCACATCACAACACATTAGAAAACCGTCCGTCCGTCCACCGCCGGGCGCCGGTCGGTCGGTCAGACGGCGCTGTGGGCCAGTCGGATAAGCGCCACGTTGGAGCGCGCCTCACTGTCCGTGGTCTGGCCACGGCTCTCGTGGCTCAGTGTTTCTGAGCCGTCCAGACTGTCCAGGTCCAGGTCGGCCGTGTCCATCGCCGCGCCGCCGCCGCCGCCGCCTGGCGGTGGGCGGAGGACCGGTCAGATGAGAGACACAAACGTCAACCGTCAGAGGGCGCACACAAGACACTGAACACCTTGCTGCACACTTGCGATGAAGCTGAAGTAACTGCATCTCTGATCGGATGGAGTCGAATGCCAATTAAAGACTTCCCATGGAGCGTGCTACACATTGTGTTTAAAATAAATTGCGCTTATTTTCACAATACAACCCGGTTTGTTCCAAACCCTGTCCGGCCTCTCACTGCCTAAAATCATCACTCGTTATAGTATTTCCCCGTCATCCATCCCAGCCAGCGTCCAGTGTAACCCACCTCTCCCAGCCACCGCCCTCGCCCCACACGGCTCTTCTTACCATAGTTCACGTCCCTCACAGTTCTCCCACCCAACCCCCCCCCCCTCTCCGCATCACTCACGTTGTGGCCGCTCGATGGCGACGGCAGCGGCGGCGGCTCGACGGTGGCCCGGCTGACCCGAGGCGGCCGCCGACCGGCCGCTGACTGACGCGTGCCCGTTCTGCCGGACAGGTCAGGGGTCAGAGGTCAGGGTCACAGGGTTCAGAGGTCACAAGGGGAACCGCCCGGGATAGTGGACAGGCGTGACGGATGATGTCATGAACGAACGAACTAAGCTGAGGTGGGCAGAGTTCACACGTCAACTACAATGAGTTAGGAAGCTGATAATGCTTCATCCGAGGACGCGTTATTTTCAGCTCACGTCGTAGCCTATAGTGCAGTATTTTACACAGCGGGTGCAATATTTTCAAGGAGGAAGCCGCACAGTACTTAAGAAAAAAAGTATACGAAATGCAAGTGACGTCAAATAAGCACTGGTCCTTTCACTATATTTTAGGTGAAATGTAGCCACAGCTTCTGTCCGCCGCCCGCACCCTGGTAGGGCACGGGTTACAGTGACCTGTGCCCTACGCTCCCTCCCTACGAACGGTGACACTCGACACGTCTAACATCGGTCTGACGGACGGCTTGCAGTTAGCCTGAGGTCAGGTGGTCGTGGCGTCCGACCACCTCGGGGAGGCAAGTTCTCCACGCGGAGCGAACTGCTAAAAACCCGGCTCACTTTATTGAGATGTAGGGCACAAGTACGCAATTTACGTGTTTCTGAAAAATTTACTCTTATTCCATGATACTCATTATCACAAAACCAGCACAAAATCACATGATGCATATCCCATATCCAAACGCAAAATCCAGCCACGCATACCGGCACCATGTCATAAGGTGGTTCATTCAAATCAAATAAAGTAAAACTCAATATTCAACGTAAGCCCATGCAGACAACACGATGCGAACCTTCAGAATTGTGCTTCAGAAGCCGTCATGTCGATCGAAAGTGCATCATGCTCTCGGTTTATTCGCTGCGTCCACTCGGCTTTGCTTGCAAACACACGCACACAGTATGACGTATGTACAAACTCCAGTGCTCTGGCCAAACCGTGAGACACAATGGATTTACCCTGGACACTCTCTCAGCCTCATGCAGCCGTGGCTCAGCCGCAGACCCGGCGGCGCGGAGTCTCCGCCTCTCGAGGAGCCGCCGGTGCCTACCTGAGACGCGCCGGCCGCCGGCGCCCGTCGCTAGAAGTCACCGCTGGGCGCGGGCACGCTCGGTATGGCGGGAAGAGGCACCACCTGACCAGCGCGCGCTCGTCAGCCCGGCTCGGCTCGGCTCGACGGCGCCACACACACGGCAAGGGGTGGACGCTTACTACTAACTACTAGTGACGGGCCCAACACCAGATTTGGGAGAATACCAGCTGTGCACTCATCAACATCCGTTCAGGAAACTGTGAGAAAGGTACACTTTACAGAGGTGTTTGTAACTGGATATGTCGTATTTGGGATTGGAGACTGACAGCTCAGTCGGTCGCGGTAGCTCGGAAGGAAAAGGGAACGGGTACTGTGGGAGTATTATCAGGTCTGAAAACGGCTGTGGTTTGTTCATGGGTTGACGCACTGTAGACCGAGAAAAACGGGACTGCTTCTTCAGATGATTATATTTCGAACAAAAAGAGGCGGCGGTAGTCGTACTTGGGCAAGTCAGAAGGAAATAGCTTCTTCAGAGGCTGATATTACGGCCAGGAGAAGGTAGCAGCTTCTTCAGGGGATGGTATTTGGGCCCGGATAAGGTAGCAGCTACTTCAGGGGATGGTATTTGGGCCGTGAGAACGTAGGAGCTACTTGAGAGGGTGGTATTTGGGCCGGGAGAAGGTAGCAGCTACTTGAGAGGATGGTATTTGGGCCGTGAGAAGGTGGCCGTGGACGGAGGGGTGCACTTGACACGCCGTGACCCCGTAGGACTGGAAGAGGATGACCTCTGAGGACAGACAGTGGGAAGGAATTACTGTCACACACTGTCCAAACAGTGCTACAGTTATATACGGAATACAGGTCATTCACATTAACTACACTGCAGTCACAAACTACATCGAACTACCGTGGTCTCGGGACAGGTCACAGCCCAACACCGACAGGTGGTCTTTCATCTGGGCACCAAAAGTATCCTACAATCTGCGGACCACCATGACAGTGCTACGCTACGAGGGACAGTCAACACCCTGCTGTGGTTCTGAGTTTAAGCCTACCGAACGGCCTACAGTGAACACATCTATAATAGCACACATACCGACTACCACACATACAGACACATGGAGGGAACGGCCAGTGTGCTAAACACAGCCATCGTGCCTGTAACAACACACCGTTAGTGTCTCATGAGTCTCTGTCTTTCCTCAGACCAGCCAGCCTCTCTATTCACCCTCGGTCTCTCACCTGGCTGGTCGGCACGGTCGGTTTGGTCTGGGCGCTGTGCACGGCGCCATAGGAACGGCCCGAGCGGGGGTCGGCCGCCGCCGCCGCCGCACCGGGCCTGCGCTGCTCCGGGGCCGGGTCCGCCTCCGGAGTGGCCACCGGCACCAGACCGCGCCGGTCTGATGCACACAGAGAGAGGGACTAGTGTTAGATGGGCGACAACCAGCGGCACCAGACCACGCCGGTCTGTCACACAGATAGAGTCTAGAGACTATGGTTAGACGGGGGACCGCACCGGTCTGCCGGATACACAGATGGACACTGTAAGATTGGGATACAGGAGGGTACTAAGAACCACCGGCACCAGAGCGCGACGGTTACCACACAGGGGGACGACGGTCAGACTGCGGTCAGACGACGACAGGATAGAGTGTCTGTGTAGTATGTTTACCCGCACCAAACCGTGTCGGTCTGACACGCAGACAGAGAGACTACGGTTAGATGGGGGACCGCGCCGGTCTGAACACACATAGAGAGAGGGACTAATGTTAGATGGGCGACAACCAGCGGCACCAGATCGCGCCCGTCTGACACACAGAGGAACGGTTAGAGAGGGGCACGGTACGCCACCGTACCAGACCGCACAGGTCTACACACAGAAAGGGAATACGATCAGAGGGAACACGGGAGGCACTGTCTCATACTGGAGCACGGTAGGGTGCTGTCCCAGACGGGGTCACGGGAGGTATTGTCTCAGACGGGGACACGGGACGCACTTTCTAGTCACACTGAATGTAAGTAACACGGCCACACGGGTGACAATCAGTAGTGAATCTGAGAAACTAGAAATGCAGCTGGTATGATCACGGCAGCGAGATAGGCAGCGTGTGGTAAAATTCAGCGGGGACAGAAGTACCGCTATACAGGGTCAGCCAGTTCCGCCTGATCAGCGCAAAACGTGTGGCTATGCTCAACAATGGTGTGCTGCTGTTAAGAATATACATATTTTCAAAGGCACGAGGATGCGGAACGGTGGAAACCTAGAGCCCGACAGGAAAAGGAAACACTTCAGATGTCGAGCCATACTATAGCATTCCACACCAAGCAGTTTGCTGAGCAGGTCATAACCTCTACCTCTAGGTCAGGTTGGGAACTCACGACCAGCGCCAACTTTTAGAGGTTAAATACCTCCGAATCCACTAGCCGGACTAGGCCCACTCTGCTCACTGATTTCGTTTTGCCTATAACACGACTACTGTTACTAACCACAGGCTATCTCTGTTTGGAGAAAGTAGCGAGCGCCAAAGAAAATCAAACCGGGCTCTCACCATCGGAGTTCAGGCAAGGAGAATGACGCTCTAATTCCCTGAGCTAGGAGTTAGACACTAGACACGCGACCCCTATCGCAAAAGGTCGGTACCTCAACCTGACGTCGCTATGCTCCAAATAAGCAGTTTTGAGGGAAAAAGAAAATAACTAAAAAGAGAGAAGCATGATATTGAAAAAGGGGAAAAGTTGGCCACTAGGAAGGGCTTTGATTTGACAGGAGGACAAAGGTTGCGATGCAAAAATGCTTGGAGGAAAAAGTCTATAAAGCTACGTGCGTTAGCCCAGCTAAGAGGCAAGGTGCTATAACTAGGACCCCTGGCTAACCGGGCATCGATACTGCGCCGGACAATATGTTTCCAAAGGGAGCAATGGAACGCTTGTCAGGTAAGACAATGACCTGAGAAGGGCTAAGACTAGAGAAAAGACAGGGTAGATATGGGTATGTCGAGGTTTACGGCTCGGCGATTTAGAGTAGCGTGGGCTCAGCAACGCTATAAATCAAATAAATGCAATACGTGCGGACCGTGAAGCAATGGAAAACAGCCTTTACCTTCGTCGAACTTTGATCTTTTAGGCTCTGCTCTTCGTGATAATTTAGCGTTCAAGACCAACGACTGTCCCTACTTGTTAGACCAAAACGACTCCACAGTTAAAAAAAACTCAGCAATCTCTTATCAAAGCAGATCGTTATTTTTTCGGAATTGTAACTACTGGAATTGGCGCAGATCACCCGAACAAAATGCAATCTAGCGTGGCATTTCACAGATTCATACCACTCCGTCAGTATCAGCTATGTGACCGATGTCAGGCTGGCACGAGAGGCAGTATCTGCGTGCGGGCTGTGTGCGCGGGATCACTCTGTGTGCGGTCAGTGCGGCAGGGTCAGGTCATTCTCAGCAAGCCAGCCCGCCTCCCCGGGTTCAGGGGAGGCGGCCATTCTTACAGACAGATCGGGCGTCACACACTGACTGGAACGTGACGAACCACTGGCGACAGAGAGAAAGAAGAGCAGCCTCAACGGACGAGCGCGGACGATACACTTGCACACAGACAGACATAAATAATCATATACACAAACAGCAATATTCTGTCAAGCACACGCAGATGTGGTAAATTGACAGAAGGATGGACGGGCAGAGAGCACACAGACATAGAGACGTGGCAGATAAACAGACATATTCGGACAAGAGAGACAAACAGGCGACGTCTGATAAACACGGCACACTGCAAATACCAGTGAAGGGAGCGATCAGACTAAGAGAAATCTAGACACACGTCACTTACCTATTAAACTAGGGTAAGTTGGTCCGCAAAGGACATCAAGGCAGTTTGAGATAACATTGCCCTGTCCGTACGGATTGAAGGCCTCTTCACTTCGCTTCCCCGTGAATGACCCTTTGATCTGAAAAAAGCCGGTAGATTAATGAAAACACTTGTAGTCATAGTCCACTTTTGATACAGTCCATACGTCATTCTGACCCATGAACTAGGAGAAAACGGGAGAAAAGGGAAAAGCCATGACTAGTGGCTGGGTGCCCATAAACATTTTGAGCATCATGTTTCAACAGCAATGTTGCCGTTCGATTCATTCCACTCTGACGGGGTACATTGCCATGCGACAGGCATACTCGATTCGCCGGCACTGGTTCAGTGGTTATAGGAAACCCACGACGCATCGATTTACTGACACCGTATCTCATTCTCGACTATGAATAAGCCACCGTCCCCGAGCTGCGGGTACCGGGGGTGAGCGCAGATTGACCCCGCCAGCCGCGCATAACTCCCCCCACGCTCCACAGCTGCCGACTGCAGCTGAGCCAGCGACCAGTACTGACGTTATCGGACGTACCACACGCGTATTCAGTGGCAATATCATACGATCATTCAGTGGCGGAGTGGTTTGGCTGGGCTAAAAATAACGTTCGCCATGCATCCCCAAAAACGTAACTAATGCTTAAAGTAAGCGCTTCCATCGATTCAGCAAAATTTCGACCTTTAGCGTGCAGACCGCTAATGTTTGCATTTACAAAAATATTCGCTACTTTACTGATAAGTGATATCCATCCTGTAATAAAACCGACTGCCAGCGTTGAGAAGATGTTGATTCATCTCCGTGCGCCCCAGCCTCCTGACCCCCCCCCCCCCCCCCCCCGCCGTGCCGTCGGAATGATTAGTAAAGTTATCTTGGTCGGTATGACGGTGTTTCCGGCTGACCGGAGCGCGCGGTGGCCGCGACCCACTTCACGACGACACCGCACGCGGCGGTGCGACGTCACTAAGGCCGCCGATAGCCGCGGCAAACAGTGCGTGCAGCCGATAAACGACATGACCGCGTCCGCCCACGCGCCGACAGACATTCACAGAACTTGGCCTACGAGTTTCTCATGGCATAGAATCTGATGAACGTATGCCTTATTCGCTTACATTACTAAATGAAAGCAGACATTGAATAGCCACTGTGACATAGCGAATCACGAGCACGACAGACCTTGTCAATTTTTTATGGTCTTTATCTTGGGTTCGCAACCCACCAAGGATAGCAATTCACGATGGCTTTACCATCCTTGTTGTCGGTCTTCGACTATCTCAACTCTGCACACCACGATCACAACGCCATCCCTTCCATGCCCGTCCCCCTCTAAGCCGCCTGGTCCCATATTCTCAGCAATTTATCGCGCTATAGCCGTTAGCTACTCACGTCTTCGTTGGTTGTCTGGTTCGAGGAGACCAGGTACGTGTGAAAGCCAGACAGGCCCAGAATCGACCAGATCGAGAAGAAACATATCACGGCCTCGATCACACTCGCCGGTGACTCTTTCACAGCATCCAGGAATTGGCGATCGTCTTTGGTCACTGTGGACGGAGTAGGGCATATGTTACGCTAAATTTAGGCTCGGCGGTGACGCCGGGTTCGGGACGGAGCGCAGCAAGATAAACCAGCCGGCTGGTGGTCATTGGCAACAGGTAGAAGTACGTGAGCTTCCTTCAAAGAAATGTAGTTAAAGCTCAATGGAATAAACGGAAGTACGAAAAGAAAACGACAAAACAATATGCTAACGGTTCAGTCTGCAGAAATACTCGAGATACACTGAAATGCAAGCAAGCTGAACATAAATAATTTTGACATCATCGATCAACCATACCACTAGCGCTCTCCATTGGACTTACACAGGATAAGATGAGTCACCACACAAGCAAGTATGAATACGCAGAGAAAAGCTAGCGAGACGATGAACATGTAAAAGTATCGGTAGTTCCTCTTCCCGACACAGTTGCCCACCCACGGGCAATGGTGGTCGAACCGATCTGGAACGAGACGAAACACATATGGAGACGGGACGACTTTGACATACAACAGGGACACACATCGCGGCTATTCAGAACAAATACCAACATATCCATCAATCCTTGAAAACATGCCCTTTGATGCCCTTTGAGTCTCAAATAACGTTTAAGTTTACTGATGAACTGTGGAAAATGATAGCGTGCTGGTTACGTTAAAATAAAAAAGGAATGTGGAACAGACAGCTGAACAGATCATCCAAATCCGCCAAGGCAATATCGGATATCAGAAAGTTACGTAAGAGCTGGGCACCCACAGAGCATGATGTGTTGGTTTCCCAAAGAATTGGAGCACTAGTCCGTGAAACAAAACAAAAACAAAAACAAAAAATGCCAAAAGCATATTCCAAAGAGGCAGACATGGTAACTACATTGCCCACGGCTTGTCTGCATCCGACAGCCCCGTGCCACTAGAGGCCGACTATTCATCACGCCGAGGTAAGCCCGAGAACCGGCGAGGACCGGCACTATATTCACTCACCGACGCAGTTGTCACAGATACTACAGTGCGACGCGCGCGGCGGCCGGAATATTTTACACGTGAAACAGTACTTGAGCTTGACCGGCTGGCCACGCACCACGACCTCCTTGGTGCGCGGCGGCGGCCGGTACGTCGGCGAGTTGCTCGCGTTACTCGGCACTGAAACGGGAGACGTGGAGAGTGAGTGACGAGTGGGCTGATACATGCTGTAAGAGATAGGACGGGGGTACAGAAAGTAGACCATGGTAGGATGGGAGACATGGAGCGTTTACGCCGTGGGCTGAGTGCTAACACACGGCGTCAGGCACAGAACGGACGGTCAAAGGCCATCAGCCTTAAGGTGGGCGACACTCTCCGCCAGTCACTAGCAAGCGACATCATTCATGGCATCAACTGACAACAGACTATAAATTGCCGACAAATACAGTTTCACTGACCGATTTGCCGCTCGATGTCGGCCGCCTCGTCGGCGGTGGCGCGCGGGATGACGCCCGGATCGCTGAAGCTGGTCCGCAGCAGTGCCGACATGACGAAGACGAACAGCACACCGCCCACCACCGGGATCACGGGCGTGATCCGCTCCGCCAGGAACTGACAGCTGCCGGACGAACAGCGGAGCGTCAGAGTGGTGCAACACAAAGACAGTGGAACCCGAGGGACTGACAGCTGCCGGTGGAACAGCGGAGCGTCAAGGTAGTGCAACACAAAGACAAATGAATTGAACAACAGCACACTGCCAAACGGCGTGATCCACTCCACGAGGGACTGACAGCTGCCGGAGGAACAGCGGACGGTCAGAACGGCACGACAGTGTAACTGGGAACATCTGGACTGACAGCAGAGGGTCAGAGCGCCACTGCTAGATAGACAATTAGGTAACGAATATGTAGTAGTGTTCGGCGACACAGAACACTGATAAAGGAGCTGACAGGCTGTTCCCAGAGAGACAGAAGAGAGTCAGAGAGATGGGAAATAATAATGAAACTCAGAGCTATTGCATCCACAACAGCGGAACACTGACACAATTAAGCATAATAGGTCCAATAATTCAGCTGAAATAGCGCTAAACTGATCTATAAGGGAAAGTGAAAGGGAAACGATTACCTACCTACCAAACCCTACATGCAATGTTTGAATTAGCCTAAACTGTTTATCACCGCGCTTCAGAAAAATCAGTAATGCAATGTCAACTCACTCGAACACAAAGAAGAGTGTCGTGGTGCCGACAATCAATGTGACGGTGAAATAGAAGATGCCCATCTTGCGTGCCATCATGATGCGTCCGTCGCAAAAGAACCGGTTCCGTCCGGGAAACTGCTGCCACCGGCGGACCGGCGGCGGCGGCGGCGGCGGCGGCGGCATGGCGCAGCCGCACTCGGGTCCCAGCCGTCCCGGTCACCGCCACATAGCCGCCGGGCGGACTGCCGGCTCCGACCTCACCCCTGGACAGAGGACAGGTCACAGGTCACAGGTCACCACCACATAGCCGCCGGGCGGGCTGCCGGCTCCGACCTCACCCCTGGACAGAGGACAGAGACGGGTCATAGGTCAGATCCTCACAGCTGCCGGCTCCGACCTCACCCCTGGACAGAGGACAGAGACGGGTCAGCTCTACACACTACCGGCCCCGACCTCACCCCCGGACACGGACGGACAGGTCGCAGGTTTCTAACATTTGCCACACTCCCGGGCGCTAGTCAGCGCGGTGTCCGCGAGCTCGGTGCGCTAGTAGTCCCTGCGCGGAGGGATTGCTGGCCGACTCCGCGCCGACCCCGCGCAGAATTCTGTCACAGTGGATGGCAGCCTTCACTTTGGTACCATATGAATCCCTGAACATAAAATTCATATGTAACACTGGTATAACACAGGAGTAGAAGATAACTGAGATATATTTTGATGAAACAATAATTTACAGATTACATTGCTAGAATTACTATGGACTTATCAGTTCATCTCATTATGCACATATGTAAAACTGGGTTACATATTCTGATCTCTGAGCCAATAACTCCAATATTAAGTTGCTGTTAGAGATAGCTCAAGATACAAGCTGTTCAGTCCTTCTTATTGGCTACAAGTGGTTCCTTGAGATTATGTTAAGGTCTAATCTATCTATATACAGCAGTAAATCAGCTTATCAGTTTTGACTTGAATGCGAAACTTATCATTATCTTCATTTTTTCAAATCATTGAAGAATAATAAAATCATACTAATCACCTTTGACTTCACATGAATGTCAGGTTATTCATTACGAGAATATGCCACAAATGTGATCGCTCATTCACTCCATCTTTTGAGCACAGTCAAGTAGAGAAGCTTATTTTCAAAATGATAAAAAATAACAACAACTGCTCCTCTCTCATTGAATAATATTTCTTATCAAGCTGCAGATCATCAGTCAGAATGGCACACAATTTGAACTCATTATCCTTACTTCAAAATAAATGAAGTACATTTTGAACCCCTGAGGCTGTAATATCAGCCATTCATGAACCAACACAGCCACCAATGCTCCATGCCTCAGATCAAGCTTACAAAACAAATGACTTAGATAGCTCCCATCCAGTTTGGTAATGATGGAAAAGTGTTGGGCAGCTGGGCTCTCCCATTACTGTACTGCACACCCTAAAACCTCTGTTTCAACCTGAACATAGCTTCTTTAAACTTCAGGCAAAAATTGATGATTTTTATGAAATGCTTCAGGGCTGCAGGGCCTGTAACCACCATTTGGACTTCACTATTTATATCCAACTATCAATCCAGTGGTGACAAATCTACTCTCTTACATTGTTGGCAAATGGCAATCATAGTCTTGACCTGGGTACTGCTCCGTCATAATTTTTATCAGCATGTTGCAGGTTTTCCCATTAAAAAAATGCATTATTGACATTTCTTGGCCTCTCATTGGTCCATTGGACATACCATGTAAATTAAATTAATGAGAAGCCAAGAAACAACAGCAGGCTGGTAGCCTGCTATTAAAATATGGCAGCAAAACAGTGCCCTGGATTGCTAGCTGTTACTCTGCTTGTTTGTTTGTTAGGTCTTTATGGCATATCGACCGCAGTGGTCATTTAGCGCCCATGCTGTTGCTGTGCTGCAAGTCGTATTAACGTAATGTGTTATTGTTGAATACATTCATGTTTATTCATAAAATTTGACTGATCATCATTCTATTTATCAATATGAAAGAGATTTTACAAATCATCTCACAAGATGAAGAAATAACAAAATGACTGTGGCCTGTGCACTGTGCAGTACCATAACTAAGTAATCGCAACCACACGTCTCTCATTTACTTCCCAAAACCACTGTCATCCCAAATTGCAGCCAAGTGGTGTTTTTAATATATTTCCCTATATGGGTGGATTCAAATTTAAACTTAACAAGTTTCCATGAGCTGCAAAAACATAATTAACGCTAATACAATGCTAGAGGTTCCTACACATAATAGTCAATGTTGTTCGATTTCTACCTGATTATGCGGCTGAAAATGATATCCAGAACTAAACGCTTAGCTTGTCCTCGATATGAATGAAATAGTCCACAATCACACGCTTTTGCACACTTGACACTCGAGAGATATTATCAAATTATCAATTAAAACAAATAAATTATTGCATGACTGCGCCACTAAACGGATGCGCCACATTTGTTTCACGTAGTAGAGTTCACAGCTCTATTTGGAGTATTTGAAAGGAGCGCCCCCTCGTGGCGATAATCAGAAACATTAACTGCGTAGTGCACGCTGCGTAGGCGCCGGAAAATCGATGCGCGTGTTACGCAGGGATGAGATAGGGGCCTTGTTTACGAATCATAACATTGTCCGCACGTCTAGCTCATCTGAATCTCACCCTATAAGGATATAGCTATCATTGCATTGAAAAACACCCGCACCCGACATCTCTCGCCTGCGTGGATACGCGTGAAGCCCGATGGGAATAAAAAAAAAATTGTTGATAGTTTTTTGTTAAAAATCAATTTTTTCTATAACAAATGTTAATTTTTTGGATTTTCATTTGTAAAAGATATGCATCTTATAAAGAAAAAATACACAACTTGCAAGATTTCAGGATAGTGATGGAGTGGTAATTGTCAATTACAATTCCCGGAATTCGTAACTATCTATTCAATGGACGACACTGACGACACTCATGCTTGCAGACAGTTATATGGCGTCCAATTTTTTACTTTATTTTTGCCTGGTGTTTGGAGTAACAGTTTCACAAACCACAATTCAACCATTTGGTGAGTATTTCATCGATTTAACTACGTTTCTCAGGGTCGCATAGTGCGGTGCGTGTTTCAGTTCGTTTCGCTCGTGTGAAACACATGCCATGTAAACAACATTCACATTTCGCTTATATGCTCACTCCTTGATGTAGTTAACTATTGTTTTATGTGAAATTGTAAATGTCTGGAAGTTGTTGTGCAGGTTGGATATCAAAATGCTCATGTATCTACATTTAAACTTGATTATTTTTGGATGGGTGTGTCCTGCAACATTTTGCAGTAAGTCCTTACATATCATCAAATTGTATGCTTAGAACATTTAGCATAATGTGTGCTGTGCCTTTTTTGTTTTTAGTAATTGTATATAGCACGACAACATTGTGGCAAGAAATTCCTATCCTTTTTTAATGATGCCAAGGTGATGCATGGCTTTGCAAGTGAAGCAGATACCTATCTATTCTAAATGTACAAGTAAGATGTAATAAGTGCTGTTAAAATACTCAGAGGTTCCTCTGCAATGTTGTTTTATATTATTTTCATTAACATGCTATCATTGTCTTTGAATAAGAAGAAATGTAGGTACCTATAGTGTTTCGGAGCGCCATACCAAGGTATTCAGTGTTGGTGTGAATGCTCATTGCATGTGAAAAGCTCCCTTGAAAGGAAAAAAGTGGTCTTCTAGGTTATATTTCATTAACATCATTTAGGACATAATAGGTGTCACTGGGTTCAAGCTGTATGTAGATGACCATTAGATGCAACATTTTTTTTACTTGATTCATACTTGAAAAATTGATTCAAGAATGAAGCGAAGAACCAACACATTAAGTAGCTTATTTGACCCAAACTCCACAGATGCATATGGTAATAAGTATTTTTGCTAATGCCATGATTGAATCTTATTCATCCAGAATCAAACATAATATATTTTTGATGGCATATTTATATTAAGATATTTCCTTGTTTCAGTATTCTTGCCCATTCATATTTTTGTTATTCCTCTTTGAGAAAAGTCTGTTGTACTTGAAAGAGGGTATCCAATGGAATACTTTTGAAACTTGTAAGCACATTCAAACAATTTTGCTGGCAGCTTTTCATGCTTATGTAATGGAAATGAAACTCAAAGTGAATAAGTGAATCAGTGATTAGGTGCCATACCAGTTTGGAAGCCTTTCTGCTGAAGTGTGATATAAATGCAATTACTATTCTTCACCCCTAAAACACCTTTAAGGACACACTGTATACGAATCTGACCTCCAAGGAACTAGTTATAGGTACCCAAAAACTTTAATGTAACATTTAATGAGATGAAACACACTATATCAATATAACTAGACTTTTCATAGAGATTGGTTTTAACTGTTCTATCTGCACAGGCTTCCTACATAGTTTGACTCCAATGAGCTACCTTCTTTAACCTGTGAAATACCTATATAATTTAAAATGATAGCAGATATAGCTCTAAAATAAATGAGGTATTTTACATGAGTCATCAATCTTACTTTAGAGCCTGGCTCCTGAATAGGAAAGTTACTTTGCATGTTGCTGTCATATTGTGTCATGCTAGCTTGTTTTGGCAAAGTTCCACTTGTCTGGACTTTTTTGCCATTGTAGCTTTACAGTAATTGTGATCTTATGTTGACTGTGCTATTATTGTTTTTACAGAAAGTCCACCTACCTCAGATACATTGAAGGGGCTTGATCCAGGGCAAGGGGATGGGAGGACATCCCTACCTGGCCGACCAGGTGAGCGACCTTTGATGCAGACATGCCATGATGGCCATACTGGTTATTTGTTAGGACAGAAGGTTATAGATGTGATGTTCAAAATGCTTACTCTGAAGCATGGACACTGACGAATTGGACAAACATTGGGCAAATGGTTTCATGGGATTAATTTCTCCTGGAATTCAATGATTTGAATGCATAATTTTTATTAATGAAAGCTTATTTGTCTAGTGTCAACATTGATCTTCATTCTATGCATAGCATCCTTGCTGTTAAGTTTCACTGAGGTTATCACAGTTTGCCTGTAATTCTGCTCAATGAGCCGATCATTGTCCTGCTCATTGTCCAGCGGCTGGTCCGCCGCTGGCAGCAGTGGCTAACTGAACTGACCGCTGCCCCGCTCTCCGGTAGCCGGCCCGCCGCTGACGGACGATGACGACCTGACGCTGGCCCACCGGCGGGCGCAGGCCACGGCGCCGCCGCCGGCCGCGCCCAACCGCACCGTCATGCACTTTGTGCGCGAGCCGCACAGTCAGCTGGTGGCCAACGGTGCGCGCGCAGAGATGACCTGCCAGGTCAGCGTCTCAGGCGTGACCATCCAGTGGCTGCGCGCCGGCAAACCGGTGGAGACCAACCGCCGCAAGATCGTGCGCGCCGAGGACGGGGCGCTGGTGATCACCAAGGTGCGACGCAACAAGGGCGACGACGGCACCTACCAGTGCAAGGTGCTCTCGGACGCCGGCGCCATGCTCTCCCAGCCGGCCAAGCTGACCATTGCCAGTGAGTACATGCGGGTTTGTGTAAACGGGATCGAGTCGAGTTATTTGTCGAGTTGAGAGCTACCTGAACTCCGAAGCTGTTAAGAAGCTATTCTGGGTACGAATGTTAAGGTGCAAGCATTATAAAGTAGCTACCTGCATAATTCCTTGGTTAGTTCTCCAGACCCATGGTCTTGTCACCTTCATGCAAGTGCTGATATAATACACTCCTCCCCTGTCCATTTTGTCCCTCTCGTCCCGTCCTGGCCCCCTCTGCTGACCCTCCGCCGCCTCTCCCATCTCCAGGTATTAAAAGGAACTTCAGCGTGTGGCCGTCGGACCAGAGCGCTCCGGCCGGCGGCGTGGCCGTCCTGCGTTGTGTGATCGACTCTGTACCGCCTGCGCGCATCGAGTGGATGAGAGACGGAGAGTCGCTGCCCGTGAACAGCTCTGAGCGGCTCTCGGCAGACGTGGCCGGCCAGCTGAGCATCCGACCCGTCACCGCTGAGGACGCTGGGGTGTACAGGTGGGTGCAGCGACGCAGAGGGAGCAGGGCTACGAGGTAGGAGATATATGGAGACGGCATGAAGGGTGGAAGCTGGGTCCATAGTGTTGGCCGTCAGTTGTCTGATCACCAGTGCAGAGTGCAGTCATCAAGCTGCTGTAACAGCCACCACATTTATTGAGAGCCGTTAATGGGAGGACTATGGTTAGGGGAAGCTGGCGGCCAGACTGCTGTGAATGTACGGGAGCATTTGCAGCGGGCATTGCCTGTATACTATGTTGAAAAGCTAGCCCACGTCACTCGCCTACCCCGAGCGGCGGACTGCATGCCCGCCCCACACCACGACTATGACTAACCGACCCCACTGTCCTCTCTGCAGCTGCGTGGCCTACAACGACATAGCGAGCCGGCAGCGCCGGAGCGACTCTGGCACGCTGACGGTGACGGCGCCGGAGACGGAGTCCCGCGCGCCGCGGCTGATGGGCCCGCCACCGCCCGAGCACAGTGCTGTGCGCGCCAACTACAGTCTGGTGTTACCGTGTGTGGCCGACGGACACCCGCTGCCCAGCGTGCGCTGGACGCGTGATGACGGTGAGAGACGCGGCGGGGGCGGCACGGGGGATTGGTGGGTGGGAGACAGGAGTCGGGCTGGGTGGTGAGGGCGAGAAGCCGATGTGGTTACTATGTCGATGAGTGTATTCACACTGCATTGTGCAAACTTGTCATTGATTTTGTTTGTTGGTGATATTGCTCGACAGGGGAAGTGATGGATCGGAATAGCTTCGCGCTGGCTGATGGGGATATTTTGATGTCAGAGTTTCGTCAGTACCGACACACCTGTGCTGTGTGAGTTAGTCTGACTGGTCTCGTTCCTCCCCAGGTCTGCCGGTGCCGTCCTCTGCAGTAACCAGCGGCGGCAGCCTGAACCTGACCACGGCACAGCTGGCGGACGCCGCCACCTACACGTGCACGGCCACCAACGCGGCCGGCCAGGCGAGCCGGCGCACCACCGTCGAGGTGCTGGTGCCGCCGGTCATCACCTCGGAGCTGCCGGCGCTCAAGGAGCTGCGGCGCGGCTGGATGCTGCGCATGCACTGCACGGCCGAAGGCTGGCCGCCGCCAAACCTCAGCTGGATCAAGGACGGCCACAGGCTGACGCCGGACGCCACCGGGCGCGTGCGACTCGACGACGGAAAGCTGAGTGTGGCCAACCTGCAGTCAGCGGACTCGGGCATCTACCAGTGCGTGGCGTACAGCAAGGCCGGCTACACAGCCGTGGCGGTGCACCTGATCACGGGCTCGGCGTCGCCCTCGAAACAGGTGGATCCGCCCAGTCAGCTGAAGGTGTCCGAGATCACCAGTCGCACGGCGCGCCTCACGTGGTCGGTGGATGATGACGCGGAACACCTGGCCTACACCATCCACATCCGGGACCTGGGCGGAGGTGAGCACGGTCGGTGGACCGCTGGGGTCGGTGGGAGACCGTGGGAGGGGACCAATGGAGACGGAAGGCTCGTGAGCCTGGTTTGGGTAGGTGGCCGGTGGGTTTATACTGCCTGCGCGCGAGCTGGATGAGATGTAAGATGCCTATGATGATGTGAATGTATAGTGGTGCCTCATGCCTGGCCCTGTACGGTAGTCATAGTCGTCAGCGCGGAAAATAGGGCTGGTTAAGTAGCTACTGCTCCTTAGTTCATACTGTGTACCGTACCAGGCACGCCCTGGTTCATACCGCCGTGTGTAAATCTGGCGCTGGATAGTCTGGTGGATCTTGCTAGGCATCTGCTGGTCTGTGCCCTTCAAAATGTGGCAGCCTGATGTCATAGTCGTACAGCCAGCCAAGGCACATCCTGTGGAGGGAAACCAGTCTGAATGAGCCTGCTCTCTGCAGTTACAGCATACCGAGCTAACTGTGAGTTCCCTCCCCTTGCCGCTGCTTGGTGTCAGAGTTCGAAGTATGACCTCCGCTCTCTCCCGGCAGTGACTCCGGAGAGTCAGCAGGTGGTGGCCGAGATGACGCACATGGTGCGCGACCTGCGCCCCTACACCAACTACTCGGTGTACGTGCGCGCCTACTCCACTGACATGGCCTCGGACCCCTCGGAGACGATCGAGTTTCGCACGGCAGAGGACGGTACGTACTGGATGGACGGCGCGGCGGACGGTGTGGGGTACTGACTACAGGCTCCTCTGTCCGGCGCAATGCTAGGTGTTAATGTGTTTCTTTCTACCTGCTTGTGTGCATGGACATTTTCGACCCTTTGTGAACCGATTCTTTGGTGAAGGTCCTAGGTCCTAATGTGTTTGTTTCTATCTTTTGCGCATGGATTTTTTTAATCTTTGTGTTTCGACTCTTTGGTGAAGGAGAGTGCATGGACGCTATGCTTGGACTTTGACATGTCGCGTATGATGGATCTAATCAGGTGTACTGACACCTCCATTGGCGCTGTAGTCTATAATATCCAGCAGGCTGCTGAATCGGCATTGCTTACACGTCTGATAGTTGGGTAAGCCCTGACTTCCGCGGCCTGCTGCAGGCGGAGGGTTTTGAACACATGCTGCATGTTTGGAGGGCTGGGATGCGCTGATATTCTATAGGCTGTCTCGGTCAAATGTCAAGCCAGAGCCACACACCGGGTGGACCAGCACTCTGATGTGGTCCGTTCCGTATGGTAGGGTATGGAATATGGATGAACCCATAATTGCTAGTTACATGTGTTCCTTGCTGCGCGTGCGTGTCAAGGTATCGGCGGTAGCTGAATTAGAGGGACACGGCTATCTGAATTCTGAACTGACGCTATACCCGCTAACGGGAGATAAATTATATTGTCCAGGTTTGTGAGGGCTACCACGATATTTAATAAACACCGAGTAACTACAACATGTTTGCAAATGCTCAGGATCAGGTTTTTTTCTCAAAAGATGTTGAATTTTATCCCTTTGACTTATTGTCGGAAAGGTCACAAAATTTTTATGGTCTAACAACACATTGAAATGAGCTTCACACCTTTTTCAAACCTTCTCAGTCTTAGACTGGTCGAACGCAATTAAGAAAGGAAGTTTAATTCGAACGTTTTGAACGGTCAGACCGACGAGACTAAAGCCCGCGGGACATGAGCTTGTTTCCGATCGGCCAACTCTAAATGGTTGGCAGAAGTTAGAAGTGGAGGTAAATCGTACTCGCGTCGTGTAGCCGAATGTGGTCGGTACCACTCAATAGCCGAATTAAATTGGTGGCGGCACCCACCAACCGCAAATCATCCCCGCCAGGAGTCTTATTATATCGAGCGCCAGAGTACCAACTGAGCTACGAGATAGACATGGCCCCTGACTTGTGCGGAAGACAACAACAACAACAACAACAACAACAACAACAAAATGCTTGTGACAGATCAGCTTAGGGGTACAACTACAATATTTTACCCGGTCTTGAAGCGCAAATATAGTTACATACGTGCTAGCTACTCTATGTATACGAGCGAGGCGGCACTGGAAAGGGCTGTCTCCAAAACACTTAACATTTTACTTTTCGGGTCGGTGACAATTCAACGTCCAGTCAAATGTCACCATCGATCATGTTCACGCGTTCATAACCATCCATAGTTAACGTTTCTGTGTTCCGCGGCTGACACTGATGTGTTTGAGTTTTTTGTCTTCGTGGATGCGGTGCTCATAATGCCGTCAGCGACTGACGTTACTCAGCGTTCGACCGTGTTCAACCAATTATATAACAGTTGTGAACATTGCCACCAATGTGACCATGAGCTCGACTGGCCTGGTTGTTTCGTTCAGTGCGATCAGTGCCTAACGCGTCTGCGTCTCTCTCCGACAGTGCCATCGGAGACGCCGCGCGTTACTCTGGTGGCCGTGTCGCCCACCGAGCTGAACGTCTCGTGGGAGGCGCTGCCGGCCTCGCTGAGCAACGGCGTCATCACCGGCTACCGGATCAACTCCCAGCGGCACAACGACCCGGCCACGGCCTCGATGGTCGAGGTCGGCGCCGACCGGCACTCGTTCCTCATCACCGGTCAGTGGCGGGCCGCCGCGGCGACCACAGGCCGACAGGGCACGGTGGCGTGCAGCGATGAGAGTGGGCAACTTACTGATGAAGGGCTGGGAGTTTTAAGAAAAGTTTACCAAGTCGGCTGCTACAGTTGCCACTTGACGAAATGCTTTTTGATCCAGTGTTTGATCAGCTGGAAGTATGGGAGTGGCCATGGACGAGAAGACATTCGTTAGACGTCCATGCTTAGCTTAACAACCCTGAACGGTACTGCGTGCATTAGTTGCTCACCCTTTCGTTCCTGACCCGCTCTGACCTCACTCTCCTCGTCCAATGCGTGCGCGCAGGTCTGGAGCCGGGCCGGGCGTACGACGTGCGCGTGCTGGCCGCCACGCGGGTCGGCTATCAGAATGTGACACGCGGCGGCGGCGCCGGTGAGCTTGCCCAGTGGGTACAGCAGCGGATGCCGGAGCGCAGCCTGACGCCGGTGGACCCGGGCCCGCGGCCGCCGGCCGTCCATCTGGTGGTCAGCAACCACACCACCATCCTGGTGAGTGTGCCGCTAGAAATAGCGGCCGGACCTGCACGGGGTGGTTATGCTGCCAGAGGTCAGCGGCAACCGCGCTAACTAGTCAGCAGGTGATGCTGGTGGCTGGCGCTGCCACAGGGACCGCAGTATCACCGCTTTCTATGTTTGTCCAGCTGATACCCTGGGGAGTAGGCCTAGAAAACACGATTCAAAACTCAAATTGGCCACCTTCCATCGGCCAGTTACCTTCCAAATTCCAATGTCAAGAGAGATTGTTTAACGTGAGTCGAAACCAGGGAGCATTGAATTGTCCGGCTAGTGCGATACTGCAGTCCGTTTGCCCCACGATAATTTATGCTCTGCTTTGGCTGTACTTAGTCTATCTGCTACGCTGTTTGACATGAATTTATAAGCATTACAGCTGCTGGTACTTGTCGCCAGTTACCTGCGTTAGCTGTGTGCTGCTGGAACCGCGGCAGTGCCCTCACGTCCGCCCGCTGCGTATTTTCAGATATCGTGGGAGATGCCGGACTCCGCTGACCGCCTGCAGGCGCCGCCGGTGGGGTTTAACGTGCTGTACCGGCGTCAGGACCTGAGCTCCGAGCTGAAGGGACCGATCCGACTGCCGGCCGACACCTACCAGTACTACCTCACCGACCTGGGTGAGTACGCGTCCCCTTACTCTTCCCTATCTATCCGGCTGCCGGCCGACACCTACCAGTACTACCTCACCGACCTGGGTCAGTACCGGCGTCCCCTTACTCTTCCCTATCTATCCGGCTGCCGGCCGACACCTACCAGTACTACCTCACCGACCTGGGTCAGTACCGGCGTCCCCTTACTCTTCCCTATCTATCCGGCTGCCGGCCGACACCTACCAGTACTACCTCACCGACCTGGGTCAGTACCGGCGTCCCCTTACTCTTCCCTATCTATCCGGCTGCCGGCCTACACCTACCAGTACTACCTCACCGACCTGGGTGAGTACGCGTCCCCTTACTCTTCCCTATCTATCCGGCTGCCGGCCGACACCTACCAGTACTACCTCACCGACCTGGGTCAGTCCGCGTCCCCTTGCTCTTCCCTATCTATCCGGCTGCCGGCCGACACCTACCAGTACTACCTCACCGACCTGGGTCAGTCCGCGTCCCCTTGCTCTTCCCTATCTATCCGGCTGCCGGCCGACACCTACCAGTACTACCTCACCGACCTGGGTCAGTCCGCGTCCCCTTACTCTTCCCTATCTATCCGCCTGCCGGCCGACACCTACCAGTACTACCTCTCTCTATCTATCCGGCTGCCGGCCGACACCTACCAGTACTACCTCACCGACCTGGGTCAGTCCGCGCTCCGCGTACCTCCCATCACCGGCGGGGCAGAGGCGGGCGAGGCCGACATGGCACCGCTCTGTTCTGTAGCCGAACGTATCAGCTCAGAGTACTGCTTGAGAATAGTCATTACGGCGTGCAGAAATTATTTCTTTGGAACTTTTGTTAGGCTTTTTGCTGAATTGATGTTATTTTGGTAGTTTTTTTTATTTACCCTTTTCACTTTTGGTTCAAAGTGCAGCTGCTGTGAAGCTCCTAAACCCCTGGCGGTGATACTTGTGCGCAGGTGTAAGGAGCCGTTTTTCACTTATAATTCTAGGCGCCATGCTGTCTACTAGTTACTACCATGTGCGTGGCAGGATGCGTGCCGCCTGCTGTGCTTTACGTAGCCGTGACCTATGTGACCCGCGCACCCCTCTCGTCATCTCCTCGTGCCGCGCCCTGACCTCTGTCCGCTCCGTCGTGCAGTTCCCAACACGTGGTACGAGGTGCACGTACAGACGGTGGCGGCCGACTGGCGCACCGCCGAGGCCATCAAGACCATCTCCACTCTGCCGGTGGAGGTGGGAGGCGAATTCGAGCTGGAGCGGCCCGTGCTCGAGCCGCCAGTGGCGCTGAACGCTGAGGCTCTGAACGCCACGGCCGTGCTGTTCAAGTGGCAGCGACCGCCGAGCGCGCGCGCCATCCAGTACTACACGGTCAAGTACCGACCGATCAACTCGGACAAGGGCCAGCCGGTGCTGCTGAGCAGGTGAGAACGCGAGGTGGAGGCGGTGGGCTGGTGGAAAGAAGGTGGGTGGAGGGAGGGAGAGAGAGCTGAGCGGAGGGAGGGATGGGAGCTTTGAAAGGAGGGAGGGAGCTGAACAGCCAGCCGGCGCTGCTGGGAAAGTGGGGAGGTCGGCTGAAAGTCCGGGCGGCACTGAGCGAAGGAACGGAGAGAGGGGGAAAGGAGAGATGGGGACTGAACGTGAACAACCGGATCGCAAAGTGACATGAGATGCAGTCCTCCACGTTTCAGCGATGTGAGATGCATTCCCCGCCTGTCAGTGACGTGAGATACGTTTCCTGCGGAACAGTTTCGCTGTGCATCATCTGATTCCCATCGAGTTTGGTATGTGGCTGCCGTGACCGCCGGCCGGCCTGCGCCGTCTGACACTGACGTGCCGCCCCTCCGTGTGCCAACAGCACCGACTCGGAGATGACCGTGACCCGTCTGCAGCCGTTCACGCTGTACGAGTTTACAGTGCGCAGCCACGACGCCGACAACACGTACGGCCCGTACTCGGAGGGCAAACGAGTCCGTACGCTAGAGGGAGGTGAGTTCGGAGCGGTGGAGACAGGCGAGCGAGTCCGTACGAAAGAGGGAGCTGCTAGTGAGCTCGTATTCTGTAAGCCCTGTAAGCGAGTGCTTGTATAAAGCAAGCCAGTGCCGCCGGTGTTTTAAGTGAAAATTTATTCATTTCTTAGGCCGTGCTAGTGTCAGCTGTTCTCTAGCCATTTGGTAGTCTGTCTTGGACGGTCATTTGCTGTGCGCGTCTTCAATGTTGATCTGTGATTGTTGTCTACTACCGTTAGGTGTAGATGGTTTCGTCGGGCTGGGACGCAGCTGATGTCTTTATCAGTTGTGTTTCTGCCTGTCCCGTATGTTAATGGTGATAAGGCTCATCTGAGTCCGCGCTCACCTGACCTCGCCGCCCTCTCCGCAGCGCCGTCTCCGCCGCTGAACGTCTCCTGGTTCCCGGTGGACGCGTCCCGTATCCGCGTCTCGTGGCGGCCCCCGCTGCGGCCGCACGGCCAGATCGCCGGCTACCGCGTGTTCTACACCCACGACAAGGATGAGCCGCTGGAGCGCTGGTCCTATCTGGACATCCCGGCCAGCTCCGGAACCAATATGCAGGTACGGGCGCCGGACTGCGTACTATAGGACATGAGGAATGCAGCTCAGGATGGGGCCGGTGGATGTGCTGACTCAGCTAGAAGCAAACCAATTACATTCTGAAAGCTAGCAATTCATTTTTGTATGTAAATTCTTAAACCGAGATTTTGTGCCTGCTAGAGGCAACGTTGAGGAATGGACAGTGCTATGCATGGATTTGACATTCCATCCTTACTGAATCCAACCTTTGGTCGCCTTTTATCTCGTTTTGGCTTCGTGTCTATTCCGTCCCGACTTTGCTTTTGTATTTCATCCAGTCTATACTCGGTTCGCACCCTGCTCCATTCGGGCTCTTAATCTGTTCGTTCGATCAATGTTCCACTCCGTGTCTTGGGTGGCAGCAGCTGTGTGCCTGTTTGCGTCGCTCTGATATCTACTGACGTCTCCCCGTCCCGTCCGTGTCCAGCTCTCGCAGTTGGTGCCCAACCAGCAGTACTGGCTGCGCGTGCGCGGCCGGACGGCGGCGGCGCCCGGCCAGCTCTCTGATATGGTCCGGTTCGAGATCCGCGCGGTGCTGCAGAGCAGCACGCCCACACCGGCACCGGCCAGCCACGGCACCACTTACAGTAAGACCGGGGACGGGGATAACATGGCGAAACTGGGGTGGGTGGGATGGAGACGTAACGAGACTTTGCTGAACAACTATCATGTCACTGAGAAGCGGGGAAGCGAATGGCGTGGTGATTCGAGTCCATACCAGTTGTTCGATGTGCAGTATTGTCTGGCCTGCCGCTGTGTCATGTGTTCGATGTGTAATGCTGCGCGTGTGTTTGTTGTACCGCCACGGCGGCTGGCCGCGGCTCTATCTCCCGCTGAAACTGACCGCGTCCTCCTTCCCCCAGCGATCCTGACCGGCGTACTGCTGCTTGTGGTACTGCTGGCCGGCACGGCGCTGGGCCTATTCTGCCACCGGCGGCGCCGTCGCCGCGGCCGGCAGCGCTCCTCGGCCGGTGCCGCCTCCCGGCCTCACCTAAACGGAGCAGCCGGCTCCGGCTCCGGAGCGGCCGGCGCCGCCGCCGGCTCCGATCACGTGGAGATGGAGGTGCTGACGCCGATGCTGACACACGTGGCGCCCGCCGCCGAGCACCAGCTGGACACCAAGGTGAGCGTCTCCACGGGGCGGCAGCGGGTGCCAATATTGCCGTATATGTCAGATTTGGGTCATAACTCGCAATGTTAGCCAAGAGTCCGGTGTTGTGCGTTTGGCGTAAGGCGCCTCATGTGTCCGCAGTCTGCTATCACCAAAATTCTTTTATTTAGATAACAGGCGATGGGAGTTGTGCATAGCTGTCCCTGACTACACAGTTTCTCTCCCGAATACAGTCTGCGTTATTGTGCGTAGGTCTTGTATGATGTATTTCAGCTGCCGGCCGGTCCCCAGGTTTAGTGTATCGCTGACGGTCCCTCCCCTCCCCCGCCGCGCGCAGGGCGGCCACCCGACCACCAAGCCGGCCAACGGGCGCGCCAACGGCTTCGTCCACCCGCTGTACCTGAGCACGGACCGGCTGCGACGCGGCTCGGGGGACGCCCACAACGAGTCGCGCGTCGGCCTCATCAACAACAACTCGTCCGTACTGAGCAGCGGCAGCGGCACCGCCGGCGGCGGAGAGCCGCCGCCCAGGGGCCGATTCGAGATGGCGCACTAGGAAGCTAGTAAGACTAGGCGGCCAAGTGACACTTGAATGTAGTGACACTAAGCGGTATTATACACCAATCGGCTAGTGGCTCAGCGCGAACCGAAATCGCATAGTGACGCTTAAAATCAAGTGTCACTAGGGCCTTAGTGCGCCAACGCGAATCGGTCCCTGAGCCGCCGCCGCCGCCGGCCTCCCGCCGAGAAAACCAACCGCCAACGACGCACACCTGCATATACTTTGAAACGAAACGGGTACTTTATTTGGAGATCGTCTCTGCGTGTCTGTGTTGGTGTGTGTCCGTGTGGGTGTGGTGTGTGTATGAGTGGGTGGGTCGGATGCTCGCGTCTCGCGGCGGTCCGGCCTGCCTGAGTGTGTCTGTGTTGTGTGCGTGTGTTACCGTTGTGTTGAAGGCGGCGCCGGCCCGGTGCCTCGGCCCGGCCGGCCGCCAGAATCGCGCCTCGCAGCTGTCAATGGGCACCTTTTTACCTCTTGTTTTCTGTCGTGTTTATGTGTTTAGCGCCGTTGACCTGTTATTTTAGGGGCGCTGTCGGGCTCTGACCAGTCGGGTGTTTTTAGTTGTGCCGGCGCTCGCCGTCGTCTGTCGTCGCGCTCGGTGCCGCCGCTGTCCCAGACAGGCAAACAGACACACAGCCCACTACTTCACTTAACGCGCGTTTGGTTCTTGGTTTAAGTGCCTTGTTCCGTACAAGGTCGGTCGTGGCACTGTTCAGAGGCCAAATCCCCAGTCGCTCCATTAGCATCGAGTCGGGGCGCGGCCGCGTCGTCGCCGCCGCCGCCGCCGACGTCCGTTTGTAGTATCTAGTCAGAGACGTGCCGTGGTGCGCCCGCCACGGGCCGATCGGGCCAGCTGCAGGGCGGCCGCCGCCGGCCGGCTCCGACCGTCACCGGTACCGCCCCTCCTCCGGCCGCCAGCGCCGGCGCCTGGACCAGACTGCAGCGCGCCAGTGCAATCGAACGACAGCCCGGGCGCGCGAGACCGAGTGACTGAGCGTACAAGTGGGCCGCGAGCGGGCAGAGCGCGTGCGCCGCGCGGCCCCCACCTCCGACCTCGACCTTCCCAGACAGTAGGCCACTCTCTGAATACTCCGGCGGCTGCGGGCACCACCCGCGGCCAGCATACCTCGCAACCATGTTCGGGTTCTCAGAGGCTCACAGTGTGCGCGCGCGCGCGCGAGCGAGCACGCGGCGGCGGCTGCTCTACCTCAGGCGGTGCGCCCGACCCCGCCCTCTGCCGCCCCCCACACACGACTGCGAGCCAAACAGCGCGCGTGGCAGCGAGTGCGAGTGCGTGTGAGACAGTGTGCGCGCGCGAGTTTGTGTCGCCGGACGATCGGCGTCTGCCTCCATAACGCGGCCGTGCTCCATACCGGGTTGACGGCCGCTCGCAGCCGGCAGCCGGCGGCCTCATTCCCGACCAGCGTTCAACAGTGCGTCCCAGAGGTGTGTGTGCGCGCGTGTGTGTGTCTGTGTCTGTGAACGAGTCGAGGCGACAGCGAGAGGCGTGCCAGCGTCTGACGCGGCGCGACCGGCCGGCGCGCTGCACATAATAAGCGGGTCTCGGGCGGCGGAGTCGCGCTCTGTTAGTCGCTTCTGTAGCATTTATAGTAGGTGGACTGCTCACGCGTGCTGGCCGGCCGGCGCTTCTGGCGCGTGTGGCCGCGGCTGGCAAAGCGCTGCGGCCATTCAGTACAAACGTACGACAAGCGAGCCCCAGGCCGAGTCGTAACTGTTATACGGGCATTTGTATCCTTACGTGGCGCGTCGCGCGTGCGTCTCGTGTCCTCGGCGGCCACTGGCTCCTGGTACCTGGATCGTGTGAGAGACAGCGCGCGAGCAGCGCCGGCGCGCTGTCGGCCCGCGGCGGCGGTGCAGTAGTGCTAGTTGCGCCGCCCACCGGCCGGCCGCTTGGATGCTTGTGACCGGCTAGCTTGTGTGTATGCGTGTGTGCGTGCGCGCGGGTGTGGCCCTGCGGCGGGCGGGCGGAGGTGCGTGGGCGACGGGCGCGCGCGCCCAGCCTCTCTCAGCCACCGGTCGGGGCGGCCGCCGTGCCGCCCCGCTCCTCTCTACCTCAGGCGACCGTTCAAGTGAGCAGCGCGCCCGGCGCCGCGCGCCGCCCGCCCGCCCTCCGGCCGATGCCGCGCCCGGTCCCAGACTCGGGCGCGGCAGATTGTTGCGTGCGTACAGCATACCCATAGAAAACCTCGTTGGGACTCTCTTTTTACATGCCTAGATATTAAACTGTTCTATACATATTGTTATTTTCTTTAAAAAATGCAGTTGTAATATTCAACAATATTTGTAATTTTTGCCAATTGTACTGATATTTATGAGAATACAAATGTATGTACAAGCTAGTTGCCGTGTTTTGTCTGTTTTGTGTCGTGTGGGAGAACCAGATTGAAGAGATCTGAAACCGCTTATGTTTTGCCTCCTTTTCACGCTTGTTAGCACTCAATCCCACCCTTCAGCAGCTACCAAGTCCTAAAACAGCACCAGCTGCTGCAATGGGTCGCGGGCCTCAGTAACCAGTCGCACAGCTCTTATCTTGAGGAATCTTGCTATATCAGTCCCGATTTGGGGGCTTCCAAATATTCCCCATCGTGGATCAGCCTTGCCATAAAAATGGGATACTTTTTGGGCAACAAAATAAATCATTTTTGTTTCACTTTAGATCATGCTGACTATTCTTTCATGACTTAGGTACTTTTCCTGTCGACCTTTCATAACGCCAGTTTCTCTGACGTAAAATGCTTATGACGTCATAGATTCAGAAAGGGTGCGTTTCCAACGTCGAATGCTAGATATAAGAGATCCTTGGAACAATCGTTTGTGTGTGTGAGGCAATTTGGATCGAGAAGGAAATCAATTAATTAAAGTTAAAGTAGATTAAAAGGGACTTAGCCTGATTGTAGTCCAGCCCAGTACAGCAAGTTACAATCATGGGCTCACTTATCAGGAGTTTTCTGGGCCCAGAGTTGTACAGGGTGTACAAGACGGATACCACCGCAGTAAGTTAAGATGGTTATGTTTTTGTGTGTATAGCGAATCTAGCATGATATCAACAGTTATTTATTTTGGAACATAGTTTTGAAATTAATCATGAAGTTAAATAATCGCCAGTTGTTAATTTTATTCCTTATTCCGAGCCAGGGTACAGCAAAAAAGAAGTCTGACGTAACTTCTCATGCGTCAAATTCAGTGCATAGCGGTAGGGTAGCTGAATTTTTCTGTGCAGGGCGGCCACATATTTTTTTTTTTGCAAAAGATGGTCATCAAACTTAGTTGGCACGCTAGTCAATCTAGCAGCAGATTCGCCCTGCGGGCAGCTCTAGAGAGATTTCGGGATGAAACGTCCCCACCCTGGTCGTCATGTGCTCGAACTGGCGAGCCGCCCTAAGCCCACTCAGCGCAGGAGCAGCCGCCCAGGTGAGGCCTCAACCCTCGGCATAGAGATAGGTATGGAAGACCTTGTTGAACATCGCCGAGTGTCATTAAGTGATACTGCAGTGGGCAGGAGCCCACTGCTGTATCAAGGGGAATGAGAGTGCGGACGACCTGGCAAAACAAGCAGATGCCCTGCCCTTAAACGCCTGCTCGCTGACCAGGGCGGTTGATTGTGCGGCCTCGCATCAATGGCGTGACAACAGTAACTGGTCCGAGTCACTATTTAAGCCGCTCCTCGGGAGCACGCCGCTGCTGGCGCTGCTCCCTATCCCCGGAGAGGACCGAGAGGACGCCGTTTCGGTGCACCAGATGAGGGCGGGCCACTGGGGCCGCTTGCTCCAGTATGTGCTTCGAATTGGCTGTCTCCACTCCGCAGTGTGCCAGCAGTGCCCAGACTGGCCCAGACAAGCGGTGCCCCGCGGCGCAGAGGCTGATGTGCCGGAGCACGTGCTACTCCGCTGCCCGGCCCTCGCTGGTGCCCGCCCATCCTCGAACACACCGCTCCGACGATTTTTGTGGCTGTGGAACTTCCGACTCTGGCCTTGTTTTCACGGCACGACACTAAGCGACAATACTAAGCGACAATACGCTAAGCGTATTGAGGTGTTGGGTTTCCATGGAAAAAAAACTTATTTGGACGCTCAAACATGGGAGGGGAGAGCGTCCAAGGCCCCAGAACACTTTGTCTGGTTGATATGGCCTTGATTGGTAGATGTGCACATGTGCTTTATATAAAAGTGGCTTAATTTTGGCTCAAATAGGCACCCAATGTTCGGCGCTCGGCAAATCATGCAGAAAGTTAAGCGCGAAATCGCCTGCGCCAAATTTCGGCTCAGTAGGGTCTCACAGGCGTCCGGCGTAGTGTACCTATGGGTGTTTTCCAGTCTAGCCTTACAGCTCAGGTTGGTAGGGCCATTGGACTCCCACTGGTGATATGCCCAATTTCAAGTCATTATATCTCGATGACGGATGAATGATACTCACTGAGGGATGGTCTGTTGATGGCCCCTGTGGCAACACTTTGAGCCATTACTGTGGTAGTTGGCTTCCAGGGTCTCACGGCGACATTTGGCAGGAACGGGTTGGGGGGTGGGGGGGTGGGGACGAGGGGTGGAGGAGTAGCAGGGTCCGGGCGTGGCGGGATGGTCCGAGAATCGTGAACTTCGGACATAGAAATGCGGACGAACCGTGACGAGAAGCTGCTTAGGTACGAATATTCGCGGACAAAGCTTTGCGAGGACGAAATGTGGTGGACGAGGAAGTACGAAATCGGATTTTTTTTTTCCTTAGACAATGGAGTCGTGCATAGGCAACATATCTCGCTAAGCAGTGTGTGAGGTGAGCGGTAAAAAAAACCTGAAGGCTGTTTTTCAATGCTGAAAATGGCTGTACGCAATGCATGGGAGTAGACCGCCCTGCCTACATTCAAGCTGAAATTGTGTCTTCTGCTTTCAGGGTTTCCAATATGTTCCAAATGCAATGGAGAGTTGGGGAGACAGAATCATCTCGTTCGTAAGTGACAATTACTATTCTCGCATTTCTTATGATTTCACATTTCATTGTAATTCCTTTTTAGCATAAAGTTTGCTATCGATGTTAGATAATATCAGCCACTTGTCCATCAAGGATAGATTAAGTAGGTACTAAGTATCCTTCTAAACACATAGCAACTCCATAGTATTAAGCATCCTTCTTAACACAGTTCAATTATCTCTTCTAATTAACTCCTCTCCCTGTCACCCTCTACGTCCTCCCCTGCCCTGCCCAGGTGCGTCTGTTCTACAAAACCACTGTCTGGACGTCACCGCTGGTGGGCGCCTACCTGCTGTGGCGCGGCTATCTCTCGGTGGACGGCGCCGCGTCCCTGGTGCGCTTTGCCGGCTGGCTGGGCGCGCTGGCGGCCGGCGCGGCGGTCCTGCGCGCGTTCGGCCGCATGGCCAACCCGCAGTACCGGGTATTCATGGAGGTGCTGGGCGGCGACACAACCGACCCGGAGCGACGTCGACAGCTGGCCGGATACGACTTTGACATGGCGGCGTGGCCGATCGACTTCGCGGCGCAGCGGTGAGTGAGAAACAGCGATAATTTGGGGCTGGAGTGTGCTCTTCTGGGGCTGGTTGTGATTGTGGTGTCAGCTATAATTCCTTATAAGTTATAGCTATATGTCTATCACGGTATAATTATTGTAGGCTCTCGTCTGTGTATGTGCTGATGTTTTGTGTCGAACAGCGTGTTGTAGTCCTCTCCAGCGCCACGATAGCAGTACCTGACTTATCCTGGCAGCCGGCAGCACGGTGGAAGACTGACCTTTTCTACGTGCTGAGGCGAATCTAACTGTCTACCGATACTGTCAGTGCTGGAGGACCCCCGACCGCTGCTGGCTCGAGGCTCACTCTTAACCGTCTGCCTGTACGGACAGTGTGCTGAAGATACCGGCCGGCGGGGGACCCTGACCTCCTACCTGTGTCCCACAGTGTGCTGGAGATACCGGCCGGCGGGGAGACCCTGACCTCCAGTCTCAGCGACGAGGGTCTACTGGGCCTGCCGACCCGCCTGCTCACCTACTGTGTGGTTCACACAATCGGGCGCCGCCTCATGTACCCCGGCAGCATCGGCTTCATGCGCTCACTGCTCGGTAGGTGGGCAGACGGTGGGCCGTGAATAGCACGGTCAGTCTCAGCAGGATACTGCATTGATATTCCAGGTGAACATATGAATTTGCTTAAGTAATGCAGGTTAAGTATGCCTTGAAAGTAGGCACCAAACATGCAAGGTTCTGTTACGTTAGTAAAATGTGGGCTTTTATGCTGCACTGTACTTAAAATCGGCTAGACATGGAGTGGTGAGTTCCGATGTGTTGGTGTGTCATGTGGATCGTTTCTACTTCCCCCCAGCGCCGGCTCTGCTGGAGGGCCGCACCCGCCTGGTGGAGGAGCTCGGTGGCAAGAGGCACGCGCTGCTCGCCAGAGACGGAAACCGCATCGACACCATGTTCGTGGACCGGCGCAGAGATGGGTAAGGGCCAGAGTATTTATATTGAATTCACTAAGAGCGGCTCGGTAGTGACTGGATAATGACACCTGACTGTCACCGCTCACCCTGACGGACGATTGTGGTCTTGGTGCTGGGATGGGCAGTAGGGGTTCTCCGTGACTGGATTATACCTAATTGGTCCAGTCGTCGATAAAGGCCGTCCCATCGACCTCAGTGCTGTCCAGCCTCATCGGGTTTGTTCCCTTCCATCCCGTCCAATTTATCCCACGCCACCCATTTTCATCCTACTCCTATCCTCCCCATTCTTTTTTATCTGTCACGTTTGCCATCCCGTCGTGCTCAATCCCATTCAATCCTGTTCATTCTCATTCAGTCTCTCCATTTTTATCCCACCGTTAAACCTATTCCGGCCCACCTGTCCCATCCATCCCTGATCCCGCCCCGATCGTCTCCACTAGCGCAATGAACCAGTCACCGGCCATGTGTCCTGTCTGCCGACGGTCCCTGTTGAGTGCTCACGCTGCACGACATCCCGGCTAGTCGTGGGAACGACAGGTCTCCGCTCACTCAGGCTGACCGGCACAGTGGAGCGTGAGAATGCAATATGCATGTGGGTCAGTCGCGTCGTGTCGTGACCGAACAGCTCAGAAAACCGGTCAGTAGAGCCGGGCGCGATGGTATTATCTGGCGGTGGAAATTTTTGACCGGCATTCCAGGAATGATGCGTAGCTTTGGCGCAAGCTGTGTTGTGCTGTGACGGGTGTGTAGCAGCAGCCGTAGTATATTTTGTGTGAATGGCTGGAAAGTTTGATTTTTCATTGATATGACATAATCGATAGCGCTTTTTTGATGCTCATCATCAACAAAACGAAACTTGCTTACTTGTCTTTTGAATGCCGATTTTAGTTGCTGTGTCCTCCCATGTATGCATTATTTTGACGTTTATTGTCAATCCGTTCCCAGGCGCAATCCATTTCCAGGATATAAAATCCTCCAAGCCCCCTTTAAATTTATAAATGAAATGGTTCTATTGTGCCACGCAAACCAATTTCGTGCACCTGACCATGGGTCGGTGTTAGCTGAAAATATATGCTGACCCACCAGCACAGTATAGTTGCTTAGAGATACGTATAGATTCATTATCAATGGTGCGTCCTCTTTCTTATTATGCCGATTTGCTTGTTGTGCCCCACAGGAACTCACCCAACGGTAAAACGCTGGTGATTTGCTGCGAGGGAAACGCCGGCTTCTACGAGATCGGCGCCACGTCTGCGCCGCTAGAGGCCGGCTACTCGGTGCTCGGCTGGAACCACCCGGGATTCGCCGGGAGCTCGGTGAGCGCCCCGCAGCCCCCGTGTGTCTGTGATGGTTGCGTGGGGACTGGGAAAGTCAGCACACCTATATCGCAGTGGTTATATCACTCAATACTCATTCCCTCCCTCGACGACTTCTACATACCTTACACATTAGATTGGTTGATGTTGACCAACAGCTAAACAGCTAGTCTATCACGGTGAGCGATGGCCCCTTACTGCTTTACCATCAGCTTCATTCTCGGTTCACCATCTCAAACACCACCCAGATTATTCCCTCCTAGTATCTCTCTCCACCAGCGTCCAGCGGGTTAGGGTGTTCTCGCCCCACCGTCTCCTCATTGTAGCCACTCACACCCATTCCTCTCCAGGGCGTGCCGCTACCGGAGAGTGAGCAGAGCGCCATCGCGGCGGTGATGGAGTTCGCCGAGAGCCAGCTCGGGTTCCGCCAGCAGGACACCATTCTGTACGCCTGGAGTATCGGTGGCTACACGGCCTCCTGGGCGGCCATGACACACCCGGGTGTCGGTGGTGTGGTGAGTACCGACTACCGTCCCTACCCAACAGTACCGGACTGTCCCTGACAGCTCCCATCCTCCCATCGGCGGGTACACGGCCTCCTGGGCGGCCATGACCCACCCGGGTGTGGGCGGCGTGGTGAGTACCGTCCCTAGCGGTAGAAGGCTGTGTAGCAGCTCCAGACCTGTCCTACCATCGGCGGGTACACGGTCTGTTGGGCGGCCATGACCCACCCGGGTGTCGGCGGCGTGGTGAGTACCGACTACCGTCCCTACCCAACAGTACTGGACTGTCTCTGACAGCTCCCATCCTCCTATCGGCGGGTATTCAGTCTCTTGGGATGGTCATGGCGTCGGTGGTGTTGTGAGTGCTCAGTGGCCTCTGATCAGTGCTGCCAGGACCGGCTGTTTTCGGTCGTCCTGAGGTCAATGAAGGTGGATAGCAGCCGCCCTCGTCGTCTGTATGTTGTCTGGTCTGGGCTTAGTGGTTTTCTGGACGCTGATGACAATAAAGCTGAAGAATTGTTGCACCTTACTCCCTTAAGTCGGCTAGGTAACTAACGGTGTTGCTTGCCATCCACTGGTCTTTAGCAGGTCTCTAAGGTTTGTAATGTATTATCGCGCATAGCCTGTATCTGCTATTTAGAGATGGCATACAGTCCTAAGCATTATTGCTATGCGCGGTCTGATGTGACGGTCAGTGTGTGACGGTCGACGCGGCGCGCGCCGACAGGTGCTGGACGCTACGTTTGACGACGTGCTGCCGCTGGCCGTGGCCCGCATGCCTCCGTCGTGGAACTCGCTGGTGCAGCTGACGTGTCGCCGCCACCTGGACCTGAACAACTCGCGCCTGCTGCGTCACTACCCGGGACCGGTGCTGCTCATCCGCCGCTCGCAGGACGAGGTCATCACAGTCACGTGAGTGATGCGGGGGAATCGTGGGGCTAGATCATCATCCCAGTCACGTGAGAGATGCGGGGGGATTTGAGCTCACGGAATAAGGTCCCCACCACCTGTGTAACATGTGGGAGGCCTGGTGTGTTTGCACAAACGTAATCTAGGTTGTACAGGGTGAGCCATAAAGATTTACCCATCGATAAATTAATTTTATTTCCAAACGGGTTGGCGTAGGTATGCCATCTTTTGCATTAATGTCGCAAATTTGTCTCCAATCCTGACAGTGTAGCTCATTTTGTATATGCTCTTCCACTGTCTCTGCTACGCTCCTGAAATGCGAGGTCGTCTTAACGCACATCCGCCGCTCCTGAAATTCAGGAATCACCACTGGGTGTTGGCTGCTGAACACTCCTTGGTCTAAAGAATGCTGGGCACAAGTTGTCCCCGACTTCAGCCCCACGGGCTTCGCAAACTGAAATATCCTGAAAACCCGACTCTACCGAGTCCCTGAAACACTGCAAATGACATACGGCGCAGCATTGTTATGGCATGGGTGATCGAGGAAAATAAGTGAAAAGACGGTGCGGCGGCCGCGTGCCATACTGCTCTTGCGTCTCGGGCGCGTAACATAAGAAGAATGCAAGCATACAGAAAACAGACTACATTGATTAGTTAGGAGATGACGTTGTTTTATGTATGTAAAAGATGACATAGCTATGTCAGCGCGCCTTGAAACAAAGTTGAATTTTCGATGGGTAAATCTTTATGGCTCACCCTGTAATTACTTTACCCACTCCATAATGTTTCCATGACATGCTACCGTTCGCATCGCGTTTTACAGTAACTGTTGTTTTGTTTAATGAAGATATGCTCTCTTTCTGTGTTCTTAAAACGGTATTTATTGAACAATACTTATTCATTATCAGCCCCGGCTATATGTCAGTTCCCTAATCCCCAAGTGGTATCGCGCTCTTCTATTCGTTGTTAAGTGCATCACCAACTTAAGTATCCTGTGTCTCTATCTGAATGGGCCTGAATCCGGCATGTGGCGGCGACAGAGTGTCAGTCACCGCCCGGCCCCGTACCCTCACGGTGTGACTGTCCCTTTCCCCCGCGACTGACTGTGCCGTCTCCTCTCCGTCCGGCAGGGAGGGTGAGGTGGGCACCAACCGCGCCAACGACCTGCTGCTGCAGCTGATGGAGCACCGGTTCCCCTCGCTGCTGGACACCTCCAGCCGGCGGCTGCTCGAGCGGTGGGCGCGCGGAGACGCCGTCATTCAGGGTGAGGCAGCCACTGGGCGCTAAAGTCACATTAAACGTGTCTCAAATTTTCAGTTAATGCGGATACGACGCCGTGGTGGTTTGTACTGCCGGGCTGTGTTGCAAGTGTTCGTTTTGATTGTTTGTAACGCGGCAGGCTAAGGTGGTGTTTTTGTTTGTGCACTGCCAGCAGTGGAGGTGACTCTTGGTTTGTTTTCCGGGTTCGCGAAGAAAGTCAGTGTCTGTGGCACCGTTCACTGTGCTGACTTATCCTCGCAGTGGAGGTGGTGACTGTACTTATGGCTCGCTGACGGTAATTCCTGTCCCCCGCAGCGGAGTGGTGGTACTGACTGTAATCCCTGACCCCGTCTGCGGCGGAGGTGGTGACCGCGTTTGTAGCCCGCTGACTAATTTCTGTCCCGCAGCCGCGGAGGCAGTCACTGTGTTGCTGGCCGGCTGACTGATTCCAGAGGTGGTCAGTGTTTGTGACCCACATCTGACTATAATTCATGACCGTCCACAGCGGAGGTCCTGTCTGAAGCCGGCGTGGACGACGAGTTGTGCCAGTCCCTGCTGGCCTCCTACGTGTCGGAACACTCGGCCTCCTACCCGCTGGGTATCGGAGCCGATATGGACAGCGGCACACTCTCCCAGCTGGTCATCTACCTGGTGAGGAATCGCCCGCAACTGGGGCGGGTAGAATGACGTTTATTCTCCCCACCACTCCGTGATTTGTCATGCCCCCCAAAAAGCGTCGATGCTTCCTTAGTCCGAGCCTTAGAGACCTGAAATATCACTATCATGTTCTCAGCTTTGAACAAATACGCCAACCAGACCGTCCAGCTATCCACGTCTTCCTCCGTACGTCTTTTGGCTCTCGCTCTAACTCTCTTCGCACGTCCACAGGCGAGTCGTCTGATGATCGAGATGGAGGGCACACACTGCTCCCCCATGTCGGGCTCCTTCTTCCGGCTGCCGTGGAACCTGCCTCAGGGCACCAACGGCTTCGTCTATCTGAACAAGCCGGGTGACGGGCAGACGGACAACTAGTCGCCGAGCGGCAGAAACGGCGATAGGTGGAAGTAACCCTTCTCCACCCCGGATGGAGAGGGCTAAGCGGTGGCTTGTCTTAGCCGCTGACAGGATGTGGCGCTGGGATGCCGGTTTGTTGGTTTCTAGCGATCCAAAGGACGCTGAAAGGTCCCGGGATGACGCGGCCGCGGAGCCAGCTCCAGCAATGCAGTCAGACGAGATAATCATATTTAACTAGCACCGCGGGCAGCGACGGTCCTTTGTTAGACCCAAGCCGGTGAAACTGGTCTGCTACGAGTCGTGTTATGTTAGACAAGAGTCGGTGGCATTGACACTAGCAGTGGTAGGTCTCAGTCACGGATTGTTCATGTAATGAAGTACGGGGCTCATTTAAACCATGCCTAGTACCACTAGACACCATTAGGCGTCTCCGTATATATGTTACTGTTTCCATGTCGGTTGTGGCAACTCGTTGGGGGGTTTATGTTGCAGCTCTACTGCGCCGCGCGGTGGGTACCTGCTCGGTGGTAGCTGATCTCTCTATGTTTGTGCTGTGTGTCAATGCACGGCGGCGCAGCGACCGAACAACACCGTGTGGTGAAGATGTATGTTGGCTGTGTGTTCAGCTGAGGGCGGCATGACCTGACGCCGAATTATAGCCGAGGGAAGAGTGCGAGCACCTTATTAAACTCGCGCGCCCGAACGCATGTGTGTGTTGGATGTTTCGATTGTGTCGGTACTACGGCGAATGAAGCTGCGTGTTCACTTCTCCCGCTAATTCCCGGTAAACTAGGATACCAGCGGATGATAGGATAGTGAGTCGCACTCAAATATTTACCGATTTCTCTACTTCAACAGCGCTTTGGCGGCCGTCGCAGGCTCGCCCCGTTTTAAACACGCGAGCTACACAGTCGTCAATGCATTTGCACTTGTTCGGCCCCAGAACGCAATGCTGGTGTGATGAGACATGCCACTCTGAAAATACATATGAACGAAACCGGACAATGCCAGTTTTGTACACAAACAACGTACAAAAACACACAAACGATGCAAACAACAGATCAATATCACTGCCTCGTCAGTGAGGAAAACATTACACTTCACGAAGGCACCACTAGGGTCATGGTTGCCCGGACGCCGACCTTTTTGGAGTTACCGGTCACCGGTCCCATCACTCCACTTGCGCGGTACGGCACAGAGTTCAGCAGGTTCACTGTTACGGGTCCTACTCCATTCACTAGTTGTTACCCCGTCCGTACCTTCGCCAGTACCGCTTCACATCGTCATGGCCCTCCTTGGTCACCACCATCACGCGTTTCTCGGGACTCTCCCACGTGAGACAGCCCATATCGCGCGCATAGTTCCGCAGCATCTCAAAGTCCGCCTGCGCCAGAAACTGGTTGTACAGCACCCCCTCGGCGAATGTGAACCGATTGCGCTCGATCTCCCACAGTTTAATCTGGTCGACCACCGTGCCGGGCAGCAGCGGGTCCTGCTTCTTCATCTCGGCATGAGCGTGCATCCGAAGGAAGGCGATGATCTGGTCGGCCGTGATGCCCGACCGGAGCGCCTGTCTCACCGAGTCGCGCGTCAGGATCGCCACGGAGAGGTTCGGCAGTCGGTAGACCATCTCACAGAAGAGGCCGACCAGGGCGACCTGCAGGTCGGAGGCGCCGTACGCGTACACGCGGTAGTTGGTCTCCACGACGAGGAAGCCCTGGCTCTGTATGGCCAGACGGCGCCGGGAGCCGGCGGACAGGTCCAGCGCCAGCCGGGTCGGGTAGAACCGGCCCGAACTCCGCTGTGGGCGGGTCACAGAGAGAGAGAGAGAGTTACGGTGGAAACAGTGAGGGAGAGGCGACCAAGTCCATAGGTGACTGGAATGCATGACAATTCAAACGGTACTGGGTGAGTGGGTATATTTACAGAGATTACTTAAACGGACACGGGGGAATGCACATAAGTTACGGGTTTTTTCACCATTGTCTGTTCAATTTAGACTGCCGAAAGGCAAACGACGTCTGAGCACTTCAATTTACAATAAACAGCTGAGAGAAACACTGGCCGAGGTCTCAATGATACGCGGCGGTACCACGCCTTCTGACTGTGAAGAACCGGGCGTACAGTAGGTACGCGATAAAACTAATTGTCCACGAATAAGCCCACGATGTTCCGAGCACGCACCTTTCGCTGGTAGACGAGTCCGAACTCTCGCAGGTGCTGCAGGAAGGTCAACTGCTGCTCCGACATGCCGTCAGTCACGTAATCCTGCCGGTCGACGACGCAGTGCCAGGTCAGGTCAGAGAGAGAGGGGGGGGGGAGGTCGGTTCACCGTATTTCATGCAAAGGTGTGACCATCATGAAGAAGTGCAAGGACAGAGGTATTGTATACTGAATATTCCGACGATGCTACCACTTACCAGCCCTACCACACAGAGAAAGATTGAATTACATAATACCGACAGCACGGCCCAAGGATCTTCACAGGATTAAAGACACAGTGTCACCCCCCCCTGGCCTCCCCATCACTCCCTTCCAGCCCCCACCGCCTTCGGCCACTTACGCAGCCCAGTTTGGAGAATCCGAGCTGCAGCAGGAAGGTGAGGCACTCGACCTGGCTGAGGCCGTGGTAGTGGCACGTGTCCAGGTACTGCAGCAGCAGGTACCACACCTGGGCACCCGTCTCCATCAGCAGAAACTGGAACCCCTGGCGCGTGATCACCGGCTGAGGGTCGTCGCCGTCCCTGGGAGAGAAGAGGTTAGAAATACACGTAGGACCGTCAATGAAGGGGATCTAAGGGGTCAAAGGCACGCTCACACAGCATCGGGGCTGACGGAAGAGACAGGTCAGGGATGAATCTCATCGACAGAATTACGATAGTCATATTCCATGGGGATTCCGTGGGTTTTGATGGATCAGAAGTACACTTACAGGTATGAAGCACATACAGAGTAGCAACCCATGATATTCTTGAGCTGCAGCTGTTAAAAGTGCAAGTTAACCTATCGCGGCGTATTTTTACCTAGCGTATTCGGATAGCATCCTGATCAATCAGGTCATCCTTCAATAACTAAATTCTACGACGCTGAAGAGTCGTAACTACGTCCGCCCTCCCTCCCACGTGTCTTAAGTCTTAAGTGCTGGCGAGTAGCAGTGTGCTCACGTTTTCATCAGTCCCGAGTGGAGCAGCAGACGGACGGCGTCCATGGCGATGCCCTCCTGCTGCGACGAGCCCACCATATAGTGCAGCACGCACTCCCAGCGCTCCAGCGAGTACGTGTCCAGCGCCTCCACCGAGCGCTGGTTCGGGTCCGGCGTGGTGCACGCGCGCAGACCCTGACTTACACCGCTGTGGGGAGGCCGGGAGGGGTTGGGGTTTACACCTGGCTCAGACGGTAAGTGGGCAGTCTAGCGAGTTCCTCAACAACAAGAAGAGAGGTCAGTGAAATATCAAATCCGAACGTAAACGTTAGCCCGAATACGGGTAACTGGGAGGCTAAGATCGTACCGTTGTCAGGCTCTGACAACAGGGGGTCACAAACTAGCGAGTCGTGAAGCTGGAATTACTAACTCAGCGGGTCCAGATGTCAGAGATATCGTTCTTTTTACGTGGGTGACTGAACGTCCGCAACGGAACATCGCGGTGTCGGCGTATCCCTTACCCGACTGTCCGAATGTCGGTTCGTCTGCACGAATTTTTACAGATGAGTGTGTCGCCCGTCCGTGAAGGACGTCAGTCTGTTTGTCGTCCCCTCTGTACCGGGTATAAAATGTTAGGATATCTTTAGACCGTGTCAGCGATGTTGCTCCGACTGTCAATGGTGACAGCCCGTCGGAGTCCTTTTGTCTAGCCGGGATGTCAGTCATTCTGTCGAGTTACGTCGGCAATCGGCATATTATCAGTCATCCCACTTGTCGCGTCATCTCACCCTTCCAGCATGCAGACGCGGACGTTCTTCCTGAACACGTCATTGAGGACCCAGCCGGGCAGTCCTCCGGGCAGCTGGACCTCGTGCCAGATGCGGAGCTGGATCAGCGTCTGGGCCACCTCCGTCACCTCCCTGTGGCAGCGATGCGAAACGGGGAACATTCAGCCATAGCCATCGAGCAGCAAGTACCTATGAGCCCCGGCGATGAGGACTCAGGCCACATACATTACATATAATCTTGAATATGCAAAGCTATCCATGAAAAGAGGTGAAATTAAAGGCCTTGTGAGCTGACCTAACATGACCCTGTAAAAAACTGGCAGTTTTGCTATAAAGCATCAAAGTTGAATACCTACCATGGTATGCATTTATGGGGGAGAAGTTGAAAATGATACTACTGGATGCAATGTCATGTATGAGTTTGCCTAAATGGCTAATTACAATGGCATAAAGTAGATTTCCCAAAAGGCAATTATAACAGGCAATAACAAATACAAGAGAATACAGATTCGCCATCCTGGACACAACCTACCAAGTCATTATCAGTAACAGAGTTATGATAGTTTAACTGCTGTACCTATTCATTGAAATGATCAATGGGTACAATATTCAGATAGCTTTCATAATGCATAGCCAGTACACATGCACAATGACTGGAAATATTGCATAGCCCCATTTTTTTACTTATCATTTGAACATCCTCAAAATTCAAAGAGTAGGCTTGCTGCATATAAAACACTATCAAAAAGAATTCAGCAGATTGCAAACCAGTCATCACACTTTGCCCATAGCAACTAATAAGGTGAGCAGAGTCAACCCATAATTCAGAAACTCACTTTGCATGTGTTGTATCAACCCAGGAGGTTGTAACAGCTTTTGGCACTGGCTGCTCAACAAAGAGAAGCCTCATAATAAGCAGTTGCCCAAGCTTTGGAACTTCCCTGGAATGGAAAATGGCTGGGGTAAATGAGCAGCATTGTGTTGGCTGGCACTATTCTAATAGTTACATACTTCTTATTTTCAAATACAAAAGGGTGCTCACAAGCCACCAAATGTCAATAAATTTTGAATTGGTAAATATACTACAAAGTATGATATAGTGACAAAAATATGTGAGAGAAAAAAGTGATACTTCAGTTTCATTACATTGAAGTAGTACTATTTTGACGATGTTATACCAATACTGAATCTCTGAAAAAGCTTACTGAAAGTATTACTCATGCATCTGCTAGAAAGAGATAAGAAGCAATAAATTATGCATTCTTGATGCACAACACAGATGTCTGAGTATGAGTTATTAAATGTCTCAAAAATAATTTCATTCATAGTATGATTAATAGATAAATTGATGCCTCACTGAATATTTACGCATTTACTCCACTAAATCTAACACCGAGCATGTATCCGAGACACAAACCTGAAAACTGCTAAGCATGAAGCAGGATGACTGTACAGTTGATCGATAACATCTGGATTAAGTGTTTTTAAGTAATCTTGAAGATTCTTGCACTCTAAATGCTTCATTATTTGTTTTGATTGCGCCACGACAATGCAAATGGACAACTGCACTCTCCTCTGTCCACAGAAGCAGGATCACCAAATATGAGAGAACTTGGCTTTGGCAACTAAAACAACAACACCCTGAAACTAATTCATTCCTAGGCCGATTCGTTGCTATATTTTGATTTGTTACCAACTATTGAATTGACCAACTAAAGTTGAACTGAAGCAACTAAAAACGCAAACGCCGAAAGCACCCCCACGAGCAAGGCCCTAAATACACCCACGAGAAGGTGAGAGCATTTGACTTGTTCTTGTAAATAACCTTTCCCCGTAAATTAGGCAAATTGCCTAGCAACTAGAAAATACACCTGATTTTGTGAATAAATTGCTAGGCAATTCGTTGCTTTGCAGCATTTCGAACAGGTTCTGAGCGAGTATTTTTGTCACTTCTTCACCACATATGTAGTAATTTTTGGCTGCCATTATGCTTCCAACTTTTTCGTTTCCTACGGCTACTAGGTGAAGTAATCTATAAGTAAAGTAATCTTGAAGTAATCTTGCTTTGGACCATGTCTAACCTCTCTAAGCCAGGCTATACAGAATTTTTGAGCAAATAAAAGCCGCATTGAAATGATCATGGGCGATATCCGCATTATTCTTTCTTCACTGGTCCGTGTTTTAGTTTCCTAGGATCACGCATCACGCGCCGCGCCATTAGGATGAGATGTCTCATCATCAGTCTCATCAGCAGATGAGACCTCCCGCTTACCATAAGGTAAAGTCATGGCCTTTACGGTTGAATTGAACTCCTCACTGGAGGCAGTAGTCATCATGTCCAGATAAATAACCTCATCAGGCTTACTCGGTACTCTTACCTAATTGTAATGGCTGCTTTCGGGTTATTTTGCGTCGCCAACCGCCCAATCAATTTGAGGCATGGAAATAAAAGGACGAGGCATATAGTCCGTTGTTCCCTGATTTCTACACCCAGACCCATTTAGACCCATTTTTGTATCATCGCAATCGGTTGAACTTTAGAGGGCAGCACGGAAGTTACAGCCAACGTCCAACTGGCTAAAGCGACGGTAAATCCTTCCAAAAGTCTCCAAACATCCGCCATCGCTCCGAGCACCAGCGACTCAACCAGACGCGCGCGCAGTGTGTAAATAGATATATTTAATCCGATACGATGCATTTCCAACTATTGCCCATTCGCTAGCTCTCGGCGCACAATGACACCGGCACGTAAAGCTGATTGGTTGCCACTCGCACACTCGAGGCCGGGCCGACAGGGGCGGCCACCATCGGGTGCTCTCTGATACCGTCCACACAGCAGAGGGGTGAGGGGATATAGAGGGAAGGAGCGCGGGCCACAGCCCGAGCGCACGCAGAGAACAGTCACCAAAGAACAGCGCAGCAAACGATTCAAACAATACAGTCGCTCATCAGCAAACAAGGCGCGTTTATACAAGTGAAACCGTTTCTATAGTCCAAAAGTGAGATACATCGTTTTAAAATCGAAAACAAAACGCTAAGACCCCACAAAATGAAAACCCAATGACACACAGAGACCCGACAGGACCCCAACATTCGCATATACAAATGTGTACCGCCTGGCTCAACCATTGGTGTGCTTACACAGGCCTGCACTGCCCCGAAGGTGCAGTAACAGTAGCACTGTCAAACCGAGCCTGCTGTATTCTCACCACAGCTACACTACTCAGTCCACCGCCATCGGAGTGGCGTCACCACGCCGATCAAAACTATACATCTACAATCCGATTTTACAAAATAGCTGAAAGACATTGACAACTACACAAACAAGTAATGCGGTCGAGGGGGCCGGCTCGGTGGGCGCCGGCCGTGCGGCGGACAGGCGGACCGGGGGTGCTGCAGACAGCCACCCCACTGCGCCGAGCCGCCAGGGAAGCCCTGTAGCTCCGCCCGCCATTCTAAGGAGATCGGTTCGTCCGGTACTCAAGGGATAATAGAGCCAGTATCTAAGATCAGCGGTACACCTATGGTGTTACTATGGTGACCCTGTTAGGTTATTGTTTTCGACTACCGCTCGGGAGTCTCAGCCGAATCATCCCATGTCCAGCTCACAACTGATTCATCAACAGCTGATCAACTGATCGGCAAGACTCATCAGCTGATCGAGTGCCGTAACTTGGTGTGACGGACAGGGAAGATTCGGTAACGCGCTGGCACCGCTTCTGTATCGACTAATAGTCTGATCCATCTGTGCATTCTGAGCACAAAAGAAGTGTGCGCTTTTCTGTTTGACTCTACATTAGCTGAGCCAATGTATACCATTCTCTCAGATGGGCACTGGCCCTCAGAAGCAGCCATGTATCGGCGATTTCCTTGGAGTTTCTACCCGACTGGCAGTTCTGTGCGGAAGAGCTCGCCCTAACTGGGTGGCTGGCTGCAATACCTCGGACAAGTTCTCCTCCGCTGACTTTAGGACACTTCGCTCTGCCAATCTGAAAGTAGTTGGCAAGTTCGTCACTTCCCTCTGAAAGTTGACTCAGTAAGAGATCGTGAGAGCACTCCGGCTCTCGTGGAAGTGCTGAATCTGGCAGCTGGTTGTAATCGCCCACTCTTCGTTCCACTCATGGCAAGCTCTGAGATCCTGGCCACCCAGCTCCTGGCTCCTGAATAGAGACCTCGCTCTGTCTGGAGTCTCCAGTATGACCGTCAGGCATCAGCTCCTCTCCTCTTCCCTCGCTCCTCGGGATACAACACCGTCGTCGGACGGCTCAGATCCGTGGCCAGAGCGGACGAGAGACGTCGGATTGACCGGCTGGGCCGCCCAGCACTCGGCAGGGAGCCGAGCCGTGCGCGAGACACCGGCCGTCTCTACGTCGTGACTCACCGGTCGGCGTTACTAACCAGTATTACCGATACTCCTCGCTCACATCAACACAGTGCGACACAGCGTCATCCGCCGCAGACCCCGGCCGACCTGCCGCAGTCCCAGCGAACGCACTCCTCTCATGAAAGCCCATCAGTCGCGGTAGCGCGGCTGTGCCGCGTTACTTTCTCGGCGAATAGCGCGGGTTGTCGGGCATGTGCACGAACGACCGCATCTCGTGCGCGGCCGAATCGCTCGTGTGTACCGCCGCCGCGTCCATGTCCGACTTGCGGAAGATGATCATACGGAGGTCCGTGTGCACGTACACGCGGCCCGTGCGACCCGTGGCGAACCTGGCGGGCAGAGAGGGAGACGGGTTAGACGGGATGGATATGGTCTGGACTTTAGACACACGCGGCAGGCAGTCGCGATGCATAGTCGTCTCGACCACATAGTGAACAGGGTAATCAGGAACAATATCACGTCATGCTTTTAGGATTGGCCACTATCCATTATGAGATTGAAAAAAGACACGTGAACACTGAACATACCACATTCCAAATTTTATCAACAACGAAATAACTCCGGATTGCAGAAGTCGCTCAAGCTTAAATCAAACTGCATATGATTTCATGAAAATTGGAGTTTGGACCACATATCTACGGATCAATAACACACCAGTAATCGAAAACCCTGTCTAGCCTGTCTCCATTCAGAATTGTAAAAATGCTCTCAAGTGCCGGCTCCTCTGTCATTTCTTTTATTTGGCTGCCCCGACGAGAGCTCACTGCGGTTGGTCTTACCTGAGGTGTATCAGGTAGCGGAGCCACTTCTGCGAGTCGGGGTGCTCGGGTGACTCGCCGACCGGCATGTACAGCGTCCGCTGCCGCAGAAACGTCTGACACCCGGGCGGCATGGCGCTCAGGTCGTACATCACCACGAACATCTTCACCACGGTGCCGTGCGGGTTGAACAGCGTCACCTGCAGTGTGCCCTTCTTCGGCACGTGGTAGCCCTTGCGGCCCAGCTGCACGTGGCCCTGCGGAAAGACAGGAGGGATGGAGCCTGTCAGATATTACGAAACAATGCTAGAGAAGATCATCATCATGACGACTAACATGCATGATATACCACATATGTAAGAGTTATCCTGCGAGAGATCTGTGCATTCAACTAAAAATGACCGGGAGACCGAGGGACATTTTCTTTCGAGGGCCTCACCATGTAGGGCGATGCGATTTTCTCGTTGTCGCTGAGCGAGTAGAAGAACACGGTGACCGGCAGTCGGATGTGTTTGGGCTGGAAGCTGCCGCTGGCGCCGATATCGGCCGAGAAGCCCTCGACGGTGCTGACCGGGCCCAGCCGGCCGTTCAGCACCGACTCCTCGAAGCTGCCCAGCAGGGGGGAGACAACGCCGGCCGGGCAGCTGGCGCTCAGCTGCCGGCCGTCCCGCTCGCTGTCCCCGGCGCCGGAGTCGCCGGCCAGCTCGTTCAGCGCCGAACTGAACGTCTTCACCTGGGAATGGAAGGAAAGGGGGGAAATGTCAGTCTGAAAGCGGGGTTGTCAGTCTCTGGGAGCGGGATTGGGAATGACCGGGTCCGAGCGGGAGAGGGAGAGGGTCAAGATACGAGCAATCATAGGCATGTATGCTACATCGAGCAAATGGAGGTTGAGTGTATTGGTTTTCGAGTTTGGTACCCAGTTACGTGAAGAGCGATTAACCAAAACATTCGACTTTGCCTGAATCTCGGTATCATAGCAAGCAATAGACGATCTTTTCAAATATACAGTAACCTGACAGTTGTCCATCGATATACGACTGATAAGCCTTTTGGCCAATTACAGTTCAAACACTCAGTGAATTGAAACGCAAAACTGTTTTCAACGGAAAGGTTACATACAAGTAAGAAATTCCAATATGAAACAAAAATGTAGAGAACACAGTCTCTTGAACATAACGAACGTCACAATTAGCGCCCCCCCCCCCCCCAAGAAATCCCACATTAGCCAGGGTCGGGCCCAGCACAGTCAGCGCACCCACCTTGGTAAGGGCCGCGTCGAACTGGAACGCGTTGCCTCTGCGCAGCGGTGCCGGTGACGAGTTGAGCGGCAGGCCGGTCTTCTGACTGAACGCCGCTGGCCCGCTCAGGTCGAGCGAGCGGCGCACGGCAGCGCGGGACGCCGAGCTACCCGCCAGCTGAGGGAGGGGGAGGGGCACGGTCAGTTGGGGACGGACCACCGCGGGCATCTGACTGGACAGGGGTCTGCACAGGACGGCACCACACCACAGGGCCGTCTGACTGGAGAGGCGTCTGTCCAAAGGGACGTCTGACTGGATGAGGGTCTGTCCAGAAAGGGCGCCGCATGGTCCTCTGACCAAGGGACACAGTGTGGTGGCAATATGAATGACCAGGGGTCTGCCTAGGGATCGCCACGAAGAAGAGCACAACTGACCACGTGTAGGCATATTCTGTCTAGAGCGGGCGTCAGTGTCGTCTGAATGATCAGTGGCCTGCCCAGGGCGGGCGGCATATTGTCGCCACCCGACTGACCGACATTACCAACAAATTTAGCGCCAAATATCAACGACACGAAACAGGATGAAAATTACAGCAGGAATAAAACGAAAAAGCTACTTACCGTTTGCCTTTGTTGTGTTTCCCCTTCCTCCTCCGGTTCTGGCTCCTCCTTCTTGAAGAGACGTTTGATAAGATTGTTTGACTTGAGGTTACGAGATCCTTTTCTGTTTAAAGCTGATGTACCGCTGTCGTCCAACAGGTCACCGTCTCCTGTCCGATCACTGGACGGAGCGTCTGACACGCCGTGACCGTTCGATGTCCTCTCACTCGAACCGTTCGAGACCCGTTCACCCGAACCGTTCGATACCCGCTCACATGAACCGTTCGAGATCGTCTCACACGAACCATTCGAGATCACCTCACACGAACCGTTCGAGACCCGCTCACACAGGCCGTTTGACGTCCTCTCGCTCGCACCGTTCGAGATCCGTTCGCACGAACCATTCGAGACTCGCTCACACGAACCACTGGCGACCATGTTCTCCACACGGCTGGCGGCGCGGTCACTGGAGCCGTTTGAGAGCCGCTCACTGACAGCGTCTGACACACGTGGGCTAGCACCACCGGGGACCCGCTCACTCCGTCCTCTCACAGCCACCGTCTCACTCCGACTGCCGTCCGTCCCCCTGGCGGACTCCAGCGGCGGGCACGGCTGGGGGTCGGTCCTTTCCGGCGCCGCGGGCGGCTGCTCGAAGCTGAGGGCCCGCCGCACCAGCCGCACCAGCCGGGTACCGTCGGCGGACCGGCCGGGGGAGAGCAGCGGCCGCGCCTCCTGCTGGCCCGTCAGTCGGGACGAAGACACCGGAGAGGTGCGCGCCAAGAAGTGGCTGGTGCGCATGCGCACGGTGCGGGCGTCCACCTGTCCGGCGCGCTCGATGGCGGAGAGCAGCGGGTTGTCCGCGGTGGCGGGCTGGTGGCCGGCCGGTGGTGACGGCGGTGGGCCGGAGTGCCTGCAGACGGGGACGGCGGTCAGCACGGCGCCGGGCGACTCCATGACTGGAGCGCAGGGACCAGCGTCCAGCGCTGTATTCCAACTGACGTTACTCCTTTATGATAGGAAACAGCGCAAAGCTTTTTAAAACAAGTCCTATCAGAGTCTGCCTAAAATATTCATGAAAAGTGCAATGACCCATATTAGCGTTTGCATCAGAAAATGCAAATAAAACACATTGTTTCACGAGGGAAAGCAGCATGGGCAACCCATAAAAAGAAAACCAAAGGTTACAAGTAATGCTACAGCATTTCACTCGAGTATCCTGCCTCAGAGTGCTACAGTTGGGCGTTGCAGGTTGCACGCTACCAACAGTGTCAGGTCCCCACGATCTATGCTCACCTGAGGACAGCGACCACCTGCTGTGTCTCGTCGGGCGTTAGCCGGAACACCGCACTACAGTCGCTGCGACTTCGCTGAGGACTGCGCCGAGGTACCGGCTGCGACCTCTGAGAAACGCATCGACACGGTTAGTAAGGAGAAGAACACATGCATCAGAACTTGTACGACACATGATAAAACATTCATTGCCACGACTTTTCTCTTTAGCGTTGTGTTCAAAATATCTTCCGGCTTTCAGCGTATCACTAAAAGGCACGCTGTCCCGCTAGCAAAGTTAGCTTACGCTGCCCCACTTTACCGCGGCGTCATTCGCGATCGGTCAGTCAGTACCCACCTCCGTCTGCACCTGCTGTGCGCGCCGCTCGCTCTGGCAGAGCCGGTCGGCGGCCGGCGCCGGCTCGGCAGCCAGCCTCTCCTCCTTTGGCTCCCCGACCGTCCGCTCTCCATCCGGTGGTACCCGGTACTCGTCCTTATAGCTACGCCGCGACTGTCGCGGGCTGCGGTGGGCGTCATCACTGCCGTCCAGCGGGCTGCTGCCGCCCGGCGCCGGCGCGTGGTGTACCTCGTAGAAGTGTCCCCGCCGGTGCTCGCGGCTGGGACTGCGCCGGTGCCGGTACAGGTCGGGACGCTGCGGCGGCGGCGGGCTGGCGTCGGAGCGCCACGTGGCGCGCCCCTGGGTCCAGGCCAGGTCTGGCGCGGCACACTGGTCCGTGATCACCCGGCGGCTCAGGGTGTCCGCTGCGGACACAGAAAATCAGCTGAGGTTAGAGTAGTGAACAGACACAGCAGAGGTAACCAGAGTGAACGCCCCGTCGCACAGAACGGCGAGAATCTCGGCTGTCGGTTAGGCACCGAGCCCGGCAGTCGGTGTGCCTTGGTAGTCAGCTGACTTTATCCCTAGTGTCAGCCTGGCACTGTGACGCTCAGCACACAGCAGATACCCTATTCTCAACTCGCCCAGCGAGAGAATATCCTCTGCGCCCTCCCAAACCGCTGATTTGTACCCTGCCATCCATTTGCCCAGCCACCTATCATACTCCTCCAGCCACTCACCCCGCCTTTCAGTACTGCTCTCGCGGCTACCGCCGAACATCAGGTGCTCGGGCGTCTCCAGACTAGGGGAGCCGGACCGGCTGGGACTCTGGTACCGTTTCGGGTACTTGTGCAGACTCCGCGGTGGGTCCAACAGTGAGTCACCCAGCAGGGAGTCGCGGGAGTCGGACAGCGCCCCCTGCAGTCGGCATTTGATGATGCTGCGACGGAGATCATCCGCCGTCCTGGAAGGTCAGAGGGGAGGGGCGAAACGGGGGCTTAGTTACAACTCATCGGCCACAGTCAGTCAGCTAACCGGCCGGCGGTACAAGGCAGGATGAGTGATACGGTGGAAGCATCCAGCAGTCACACACAACTTTCGCTCTGGTTTCTTTTAGATCGTAATTGTTATTAAGAAGATTCCAACGTCAGACAGATGGTACTTAAAAAAAAACTAACTATACAAGACACGGATCCAAACTATTAGGTACGTTTTAAACTATGGTCCCGGTCACCCGCGCGGCCGCCGCTGGAGGCCGCTGATCGGCCGCCACCTACCACTGGTCGGTGGCGGCGTCGGCGCCGGCGGCCGGGCCGGGCGGGGGCGCCGGCAGCGGCGCGGCGCACGCCCCCAGCGGCTGCTCGACCTCGCCGGCTCGACACGAGGCGCACGGGATCGAGGGCACGGCATCGCAGCGCGGCAGAGCGCGTACGCTGACCTGCCGTACAGGAGAGGTCGGGCGCCGCGGTCAGAGCCGGCGGCTGAGGGGGACCCGAGAGGCGCGGACAAGTGACAACGGCACAGACACAGCAGGAAAACGGCAGAGGACGCAACACTTCCACAAACCGGAACAGGAACGAGATAGAACTGTAAATGACTCCTTGTATAAAGGACCGGAAACGTGTGCCGCCGTATAGTGACCCTTTTACCGTAACCAATGGTACTGTCCCGGACCAAAAGGCCCGGTAAATAGTAACATGGACCATCGTCCGCGTCACGGACCCAGCAGGTCGTGCAGTGACCATTAGCCCGCTCTCACCTGGACCAGAGTTCGGTCCCGCGCCAGGTACGCCGTCGGGAAGGTGTGCAGCTGTGGCGTCCCGCCAGCAAAGCGCGTACCAAACGCGTCCCCAGGCACGGTGATGCGATACATGACATTGCTGGGCACCGCGCCGCCGCTGCGGCTCAACCAGGCTGACAACTGTGAGAAGTGCAGATACGAGTAGACGGCCTGCAGCAGTGCACGAGCGCCCACTGACGACCGGTGGCACCGGCTGTGGGTACAGAGAGGAAGCACGGTCAGTGGTCAGGGGAAAGTGGTCATTGGTCATTGGTAAGAACTCAGAAGTCAGCGATCAGCGATCAGTGCCCAGCAGCTACATCCCAGGCCCGGAGAGTCAAATCCATGACCTCTTTACTAGTCACAATCCGCCGCGCACACCCCGTCCCACTTAGTCCAAGCACCATTGTAATGCAGATGCGAGCTTTGCTGCGGCCAGGGCGTGCCACGCTCCATCATGGTCTGGACAAACGCCTTCCCAACGAACCGGTTCTACCCTTCCCTGAGTCTGGGCAGCGACACGCAGATACTGACTAGTGGCACCCATAATTTGCATACGAACTAGCTCCGCGACAAGGCTAGCACACGCACTACGCACGGTACATACATCCTTCCCGTGTCCTTAAGGGAGTTGTGGGGTCTGGCGCCACAGATAATGTAGGCCATCAATCCCATGCCTCCACCCTGCGCCATCCTTACGTGGCCGTCTCCATGTGCACTGTCCACTGTTCAAGCAGCAGGTATCCTGGCTCCGGAGTGGCGTCCACAGCGGCGGCTCGGCTCCGTCCGTGGCAGCACGGCGGGCAAAGCAGCACCTCCACCGACATGGGGATGTTGTTCCGCCAGAGCAGGTACATGTAGCGCCGCAGCTCGCTCTCCCGCTGACACTGTGGGGAAGACAAGGTACGGGTGTGTGTTAGAACGGGGTACAGTGACATTCAGAAGGTACTGTAGCTTACTCTCTAACTGGCAATGCCGAGTACAGGGTCAGCACGTCACATCGCAGTAAAACAAGATCCAACAAGAACCACAACGTTCAATTCAATTAATTTATGTAAGTGATCGATAGAGGATCCTGTTTCAACATCTCGACTTGCCCGCAGAACGTAATAGATATAGAGGACGAACAGAAGTCTCTTTGGCACCCCAAAACCTGAACAGACTTCACCGTCACCCCACTTGTCTCCAATGGAGACAAACAGATATCAGACTAGCTACTTAGCTCATCGCGCCGTCGTAAAAAAACGTGGATGAGAATGTAAACATCACGCCATCGCTACCCCGACGCTCGGAGTTCGGGCATAGAGATGCCGTGTCGGCCACTGACCGGTCAGCTAAGGCACTTCAAGTGCCGTGTTATAGCTACCTGTGTGGTACGGCTGATAGGCCATAACGAGGACAGTTCATAGGACAAAATGCTGATAATGCGTACGGAAAAGTAGAGGTGCCCGTTTGTGAAACCAACAAAAGGTAACGAATACGTCAACCGAATGGATAGCCAGCAATGTCTCAAAATCGCATTACTCCAAAGCAGCAGTTGTGTATTTCACAAATGCGAGAGGTCACATTCTTTCCATAGGCCTCTATGGCCAAAACTGCCGCCTGAATGAGACTCGGTGACTGCACCGCGGCCAATGGACTTCGCCCATGACTTGGATTACCTCACTGGTTGGCACCGCCTCGAGAGAGCTCTCTACGACCGACCAACGCCGGCCCGCAGGCCATCCCGAGTTCGCACAAAGTGAAATTAGTTCGCGGACTTGTCCATTAGTGATCCTATTGAGGCATCCGGCGGTGAGCGCAGCCCAGCGCTCTCGAAGCGGCGTAGCCTGGTGCGTCGCGGCCTGCCCACGACCCATCACTTGGTTCAGTGTGTGCTGGCGCCGCAGTCAGTCTTGTTTGTGTAACACGCTGGCTTCTCCCCAGCCCGGCCGCCACCGAGCTGTGATGCTATCAGTTCGTTTGGCACACGGACAGAGTAACAGGCGGGCGGGACGCGGCGCCGGGCCGGCTGTGGCGCACCAAACGGCCCAGCTGGGCCGCCGCAGCTCCTCCTGATAGCCACCTGCGCCCACTCCCAGCGGGCTGCTCCGACTCATGTTGTTATTAGATACGAGGAAGCCGGCTGACAGATACCCAGAAATCAGGGCGGTCGCCGTTTGAGCCCGATTTACTCGCTTTTTTTGATGCAGTGGATGCGAGTGGGTCCGCAGATACTTGTCTCTGTGTCTCGTCTTTCTGAAAGCCCAGCCGGATGCGATAACTAGCGACTGGCACTCGCTCCGCCAATGTCAGCACACTACGACGGCCGTCATAGGCTGGCACAACAAAGACATGGCCTCGCCAGCACAGACAAAAACGCGCCAGCCTTTCGGGTCCACTGGGCGCATGACATGGTAAACAGGCATTTCGAGGGAAACTGGCTCGTCATGCGATGCTCACTGCAGCAGCACTAACGGCCGTTCCGTTTGCCTTCCTATCGCCGTCAGCGGGGCTCAGCGACACCCCTGGGCGCACTACCCACACAGGCCCGGTCACGGCGACCCGGGCACTCCCTCGCCCTGGGGTGCCGTGTGAATCTCATTTCATGAGGCTTAGGCGGCCGGCGCGCCGCCAAGGCTGGCTGTGCTGGCTCGCTCTCCGACCTTCGGAGCCGGTGTCGCAGAACCTGTTCCATTTGTCAGACGAGACAGCGTGTGTTTGCGCAAAGGCGACTCACACACTCTGCCCCCTCCCACCTGCCCTCTCCGCAGAGCGTGCAACATTGTGCCGTTGCGGTCACCGATTTAGTCGTCCTTTCTCAACTAAAAACTTCTCTATTGTCTCTATTACTCCGTCAGCGCTGAAGCTATGTAGCCTCCCAGTCGGCGAGACAAAAGTCCAATGTCATCCGGATCCCTGTCCACTAATCAGCAGCAGCCCACAAAGCTAAATCATTGTCCACCGGGTCCTTGTCCACAGCTTGTCAGCTGTCCACAAAGCGAGACCATCGTCCAATACCGTTCCTTTGGACGACAACCTGTTCGGCAGGTCTCTCTCCGCACTTTGAGGCCATCGACGGTTCTATCCAAAGTTTGGCAGATTTTCACACAGCGAGTCGAATACGTACAGAACGGGGAAGACCGCTTGAGTCGGCGCAGAAGCCATTTGGGACTACAGCAAAGGTCAATCTCAGATCACAGGAACTCTAGACTCTAGAGACTCATAACTTATGGTGGTACTGGCACGCTACGAACTGAAGGCATGCCTGATTTGGAAAAAGAGAGCTTAACTTCACTTGACTTACGTAGAGGGGGGGGGGGGGAGGGGGCGTCACAACCGTGACAACAAAGGCCCACTAGAACGTTAGAACGTTAAGCAGGCTCAGTGATCTCGATGGTAGTGTAGCAGGACTGGCAACATCGCGATTCGCGATCCTTCTAAAAGTATAAACGACTGATCTGGCCGTCCTTGTCAGGTCAGCCCCAACCAGCGTGAACCAGCGTCCCTGAAGGTCCCGCTGTGCTGACCTCATGGGCAGCTCCGACCGGGAATAGCCTGGGTATCTGAGACCTCTCCGAACCCACCGGCCACTCGCCAGGTCGGGTGGGGAATGCCAGGCCATCATCAGACCCAGGTGCGAGCTAGGACAGTGAGAGTCAGCCGGAGGGGTGCCCGAGCCAGCTGGCAACAGGACAGGGCGACCGGTGCAGTGGCCGGGAAACACGGCAGGACACGGGGTTAGCAGGTGGTCGGTGACGTCATACAAAGTGCTACCAGATCAGCTGACAGGGGCCAAAGGCCGTGTCTTGGACTGAGAGGAGTACGAACGGGCGGCATATCTAACCGAATTTCCATTGCATAATGCATAGTCCTTCAAGAAGGTGTGCAAGCTTCTTGAAGGACCCAGTACTTGTAGGAGGATGTCGGTCTACTAACTCGCATAAACAGGTCCAATGTCGAACACAACAGATGGAAACTATGTGAGACCATAACGCACCATTTTGAGACCGTTAAAATATGAGTTCGCATAATATATAAGACAGAACAGGATATGCCACTGATTTAGTGACATCCTGGATCCAAACAATGGCGCAGTTGAGCCAAAAAAGAATAAGTATTTGGCCTGTATCGCAGATCTTAGAGGAAACGTCACACTTGCGGGACAATTACGAGGTGCTAAGCACGCAATACTTTGGCATGCTTTATCGCCAAAACCTCACAACGTTCTACTAATATTGCGCAACTACTAATTATACGTAAAATACCCCAGCCGCGCCTTCCCAGAACCCCTTTGTGACGACGTTGCCACCAAACTCGTCATCGAGTTTATCTAAAAACACGCCAGCTACACGGAACAACAAACTGCCGGTGAAATACAACGCGAACGCTCAAACCAAACACACATGACCGACCCGTGATGTGGCTGACAACTCACCACGACGCTGTTGGCATCGCAGACGTGCTTATTCTGTCGGTACGGATAGACGAGCACGCAGTGCGGGCCCTCGTGGAAGCCGCGCTGACCGCCGGGTGTCCGTCCCTCGACCACCAGGGTACCCAGATCGCCAAACAGCTCACTAGGCTCCGGCTCCTCGGCGCCTGCCTCCATGTCCGGACGCACCGCTGCAAGAGAAGGTGGCAGAGGTCAGAGGAGGTCTCAGGGGTCAGAGGGGGTGACAGGGGTCAGAGGGGTCATAGAGGGTCAGAACGGGGTCACAGGGGTCAGTGTGTGACAACTTAGGTCAGAGGTCACGTTGCTTTGGCGTGCCGTTTTGTCGGATTCGGCGCAGGTGTTGGTCGGACCATCAACATGATCAAAACATAATCTGAGGCTTGTGCAGATGTGCACGAATTAATTAAGTTATCCAAGTTGATCTAAGATATGGCCGATTCATGGAAGCTCAAGCTAACATAGTTTTTTTTTCTTCTAATAACAGACCAGTCGTGCCCAGAGGAAGTGTGTGATTCCTGAGGGGTCTAGTTCTAACGTAGCAACACATTGTACGAGTAGTGAGAACTTTGGAAATCATCATATCCCTAATGCACTGCTCGCCGACTTTTCGGATATCCCTCTTGTGAATGCAGTGATCCTCAGTCGATGGGGTCACGCATGGTTGGCCCTGATGGACTTTCCGAGGCCGAGTCAGCCATTCACTGACATCAAAATCATGTATGCAAATGGCACATGACCTCAAAGTTTCACAACAAAAGTTTATCTTGACAGCACAGAACTGAAGTACAAAGTTGAGCATGTTGTCTGCAGGACTTCGGAACTAACTACAATGCTCACTTCTCACATTATCATTCAAAACAACCCAGACACACTTCCCCCAACAGGAACCACCTATTGCATCATTTCCATGTCTCGCCGTGGCATAGTCCGGCTGTGGCCGGTTTTATCAGGTTTCGGGACGCGGATGCAATGATGACGCCGACCGGTGACAACCGCAGAAGGGCTGCAGCAGGCACGTGACAGCAGGACTCCCGTGAAACTATGCACCAGCAAATACATGTATGATAGGCCGTGCCGGTGTTACATTGTCAAACATGTTGATTTGGGGTAGAATATGACGGGGGGAAGGGGATAGGGACAGGGACGATAAAATAATGCGGGAAAAGGTGAGGAATCGCTACAAGCCAAAAACATTAGCCAACCATCTGAAGACTCCATTCATGACGAAGCATTAACAAATCAAACTCGTTAAGCTGCAACCCTAAATAACAAAGTGCACATACTCAGCAAAGCATAGCAAAACCTCAGTATTACCTCCTTAAAATTTCATACCTTTGCAATGTGACTTAGGAAGCCGGCTGTGTACTAGCAACTGCGCCATTGCAGGTGGTGTACCGGTGCCGACACCGAGACAGCGTTATTCGAGTGGCCGGCTCCGATCCGGTCTAAGGCACGCGACTCGGTCCCGTGATACCGAGCCCAGTCTGACTAGCCAGCTCTGTCCGACTCGGCACGGTAGGGCAGTCTGGTAGATACCGGCCCCAGGTTCAGGTGAAACAGAGGGTCAATGGGCGTGAGCGGTCCTGTCATGAGGCGGCATCAGCGACTGGCCAGCCGAGGAAGCCACGGCCGGGGTTCAGCCAGCGCGGCGCGCCGAACCCAGACAGAAGCCAGCAATGGCCTAGTCCTGCACTTCCGTACACGGTCGAATCACTGTCCGTCCCTTCACGCACCGCAAGATCTTGCCAACAGTGGTCTGTCTAAACTTCACAAGACCCAGTCTATTTCGGGACTCGCCTACGTCTTTTCTTTATCACGTACCCAGCCACCTTCGCGGTAATCTGTTTCGTAACAAAAACAATAGGATAGTGATCTCACTGGTTAGGCCAGCTGCCGAGTGAAATCAGCGCGCCACTCCGTGCTGGGGAGCGCTCGAGCGGCCCGCGGCCGGTCCGCTGACACCGCAGTTACATACATATCTGTCAGCCCTGACAGACAGTGACACATGACAGTTGTCAGCCCTAGCAGACAGCTACACATGACAGCTGACAGGATTTGGGCACGGGGCGTTAACTAAACCCGTCAGTCTCTCCAAGTTCACAGTGAGTGAGGAGGGAGGTCCACTGACAGGCTGACCTTCGCATGTTCTTTTGTCTATAAGCGGCGAGCAATGGCAGCCAGCCTTCAAAGACGGTGGCGGTGCGTGTCCGTATATCCGTCAGTCAGCTGCCGGGGCGGACCAGGCAGAGAGTCAAGACTATGTAGTCTGAAGTCACTAGGGCGGATCTGGCAGAAGGCCAGACTAGTCTTAACCCTCGCCCGCACATGCCATTTTCCCATCCTAGAACGCACATGGGGGGGGGGGGGGGGGGGGGTTGCCACCCCCCCCCCGGCGCCATTTCGTTCCTGTTGGAGATAGAGCTTAGCGGTAAAGACCAAAAAGATTCTTTGGGAAGAGACGAATCCAATGATACCCAGTTTTACCTTCTCAGGTCAGTCATTGACCTTCCAGGTCAGGTCAAACTAAAAAATGTTGCTATTTTTGGGTCAACGTTGGATATCAAGTGCGCTGCTTACCATATACCGATGACGATGCTGTTTTCTGGTGCCAAGCCAGCTAGAACCTCTTTGTCACACTACCCGACCAGATTTTTGCTGCTGAGGTCATGTCAGGTCAAGTTAGGTCAAGGTGAATAATATGTGTTTGTATGTCTGTGTGTGTCTGTGTGTATACTTATGTGTGCACCGATTGTTTTTGTGTCCATATTACATGAAATCATGATCTGAGAAGCTTTTACCAAAAATGTAGTAAAAAAAAAACTTGACAAAAAGTAATTTCCGCTTACCTAAAACGCAATTATCTTAGATGACCTAGGTTGACCTTGACCTTGACTTTGACATCTGTACATCGTCGAACAACATGTTCCATGATAGTTGGGAGGTAAGACTGGCAAAAAAGGCCGAAATCAAGGTGTCAAAAGCTCACAAGGCTCATAGCCAGCGCAAGATGTTGAGAATTGGCCATTTGGGTCATGACATGACCTGAAAAACAAGGTCATATCTCCGAAAGCAAAAATCACAGAAACTTGAAATTTTCAGTGGACATCAAGAAAGGATAGAGGAGCAGCTATACGAAAAATCAGCCTTCTAGCTCTAAAAATGTTGAGTGCAGAGCAGAAAAACTACCTGGGGGGGGGGGGGTGGCAACCCCCCCCCCATGTGCGGGCGAGGGTTAAGTGACAGTCAGTCGCTAGGGCGGCCCGGGCCAGGCCGAACTGGGCAGAAGGACAGACTTAGTCTAAGTGGCCGTCAGTCTCTAGGCCGGACAGGGCAGAGAGCCAGACTAGTCTGAAATGACAGTCAGTCGCCAGGCCGGACCGGGCAGAAGGCCAGTCTGTCAGTCACCAGGCCGGACAGGGCAGAAGGCCTGACTAGTCTAAAATGACTGTCAGTCACTAGGGTGGGCCGGGCCGGGCAGAAGGCCAGTCTGCCAGTCGCCAGGCCAGACCAAGTCGGACCGGTCAGCGGCCGCGCTCAAGGTCAGCCGTGCAGGATGTTGACGTTCGTAACGGGCTATTAGCGGCTGGCCGAGCCGGTGCTTTAAATGGACGGACTATATCAACTCAGTGACCGGTCTGGCGGCCAAGGTGACCTTTAACGCTGACAGCGGTCCGCTCAGACTGCTCTCAGACTGACAAACTGCTCAGACCGCTCAGACTGACGACTGCTGCCATCGTCTCCCGGTAAACAGCCCTCAATCGTTCGAGTTCCAGCAAAATGATCCGACAATAAATCCAATCGTTATCGAGAAAAACGTATTCGTATTCACCAACCTGAGGGGCTCAGACCGGTGACCTATCGCCTGCAGGACAATGCTGGAATGGGCGGCGGACGGGACCGGGGGACCATATTGTAATGTAGACTGCAGTGCAGAGGTGACACATGTAGTGTGCAAGGCATACGAATCTTATGCACGAACACAGCCGAACGAAAGGCAGTGTCCGCCACAGTGCATCGGCGAAAGGCGGTCAGCTAAATGGGACGGTGAAAACAGGCAGGGGCGGCAGATGTAGCAGGCGGGAACCGCAGAGGTGGTAGGTTAAGACGAGAAGAGGCGGAAGGCGGGGACGAGAGAGTTGCTGGGCGGAGATAGGTAGTTGGATTCCCACCCCGCCGGCTGTTCATCGGTCACTGGCAGGACGGACAATGGGAGGATCGCCGGCGGTAGGCACGGAGAGCAGCAGCGACAAACCTGGTGATTGGCTGGGCTGACTGACTCAGCATGTGACTCACAGCGACTCCCCCGGCTCAATGTGACTCACAGTCTCAATCGACCAGGGGCAATTAATTGATAGGGAATTGCATAGTGCATATTGCAAGACTTTCGTCAGGCCGACCGATATAAAAAGTTCATCCAAGCTAAAAAATACCAAAAACAATTGGTTAGAAACGGTCCACAATCACTGACGCCCGCGGTGCGCTTTGCCAAAGTGCAACAAATCGTGTGACATTACCCGAGTCATGGCAAAAGCCAATCAATTTGGCAATGTATCATCAAGGCCGGACGGCAGGCAACCGCAGCGACCATGACCAAAACCGCAGTGCAACCATGCAATATTATGACGTCACACCCTGAGAAGAATAAAGTGAGACAATAAAAAATGGAGCGGGGAAACTGCCGAGATAGTCCTACATCTGTAGCCATCCGTGATGCGGCCTCGTTATTCTTTAATCTACACGATTGATCTACATCAATAAATCATGATCATGGCGATATCACGGACCATCACGACTCGAATATCCAGATGGCACGCAGAGATGAACGGCACACCGCGAAGGTCCGCTGGTCACGGCCGGCTGCTCCTCGAGCGCGGCGCTCCGGCCGTCCCCTCTGCCCCAGCTGACAGCCGCTGCAGCCGCCAAGGCCGCATTAGCATGGCCATGAAGCCGGGCGTTTATCAGCCGCGGTCCGGCGGGGAGCGCGCACGAACCGACCCGTGCACTGAGCACCATCCAGCGGTGACGGCCGGCGGCGGTCGGACAGAGTCCGGTATCCCGTGTCCGTGTCCCGTGTTCCGTGTCCACCGGCACGGAATCGACACGGACGGCAGCGCCGCCCAGCCGCGCACACGCACACAGTCGGGTCGATAGAAGCCTCTGCCGCCGTCGA